GTGCGAATAGTAGGGATTAAAGAATTTCTACACGTAATTCAGATTATGAAGATGGTAGCGGATTTTCAATTAATTCCTATAATAAATTACTTTCGTAACTGGTTAGATAGGTAGACGTCTGCGGTGTCTGTCATGGCGGACGGTAATTAATATATAATTTTTTGGCTCGTGATTTTGAATTTTACTCGTGATTTTCACGCATCGGTTGTGTGATAGATAGTTGCTAGGCTGGGTGACGCATTTGTTATTTATTAATTTGGAAAAGGCTTACTACTTAAATTATAATTACTTATTTTAACACGAATTGAAATGCAATGCATCATGTATAATTTTCCGTCCTAAATCTAGAACAGCTTTTTCGACGTTTAGACTGCGCTTATTTCTGCGTAAATACCTATCGTGTATGGCAGGTTTATGAAATTAAATGGCCAAATCATCCTATTTTATTGTATTGTAGAATAAATCTGCTCTTTCCAATGCTACCGAATCGGTATACAGTGAAAATTGTCCAGAAAGACATGTTCGTCCACTTTCTTCGTTCCACTTCTAGCGAAAGAAAATCCTGTTCCTTTAATAGCTTTTACATGGATAATTATTATTTTATGAAACAGGTTGACTTTCAAAAGCAGTTAATATCTCACAATATTAAAATCCCGTGAAACGTAAGTTAAATAATGACTACTCTGCAGTATTATAACGATATGGCTTAAATAAAAACGATACGAATATACCAACCTAATGAAAAAGTACCTACACGACATTTGAATCTAGATGCAACGAAATTCTTGTAAAAAATAAGCATCAATTCAAACCGCAAATAAAAAACACGTTCCATGCAGCAGTCCTTAAACCAATAAACTTAACGTTCTATTACGTTGGCAATGACATTTCAATAGATCTACATACATCATTTCAGTGATTGTGCGTAAGATATGCATGAGGAGCCGAAGACAGGTTGGTTTTCCAACGTTTGCCACATCGAATGAGGCGTAGCAACTCACATTTACTGCTACAAAACTCATCTGAGGTTGTCAACTTTTTGGCTGATGCAATAGGGTAGCTGGCTTGCGTGATGCTTGTTTATCCTTTGCAACAACAAGCGATCAAGCGAGATGAAGTCAAAATGTCTTTGATAAAAAGGTGAAAATTGTATATCAGGGTATGCTTTAGGTAATACTTGGGCTACCAGTTTATATGTGTTATTTGAGCACACACACACATAGAAGCCTGATCGTAATCTCACACAGGTTTGTGATATAACTGGGTTTTTCAATTTAATGTAAGTACCTATAAGTGCCTTTTGCAACCTCGACGTGTACTAAATAAGTTCTAATAAGCTTCAAGCACTTGTGATTTGCAAATTGCTGGTAATAAATTGTAATATTAATTTTGCCATGGACGTTAGTTTTATGAATTGATTTTATATTACAATTTACCAAAAATGATTGAACAACTAACAGAAGTTATGAAAAATATAATTAAATGTTCTCTTTGGCTGCTATATAAGTTCCTTGTACACCAAGAAATATGAAAAATAATAGTTATTGATTATTCAACATTTTTTGAGTTACCAAAGACACAAAACTGTATGCGGGTATAAGTAAATTAAAATTGTAGACAGTTTAATCTCATATTAAAATTCTCCCTTTGATCTGATTTAGTTAACAGTTATTTTGGTCACTCTAATAATATTCTAATAGATTCAAATATATTCACAAGGATGCTTATAAAATCCAGATCGAACTGGTTGATCTTTTGGCTAAACCGATTCGAGTTTTATAAATATCACGTTCTTGTGTCTAAATATCACGGATGTGAGTACTTTGTATTTTTCCACAGTAAAAGATCGTTAATGAAGATATAAAAAAACGATGAAAGAAGATTCATTTTATTTGAATAACTTTAAATTTTTTAGAGCAATCTAATCTTAGATCTGATGGCATATCCAAGATTTAGGTGTGAATGATCTGAATACGCTGAGAAACTTCTAAGTATGGGAGAGCCATGCTTCGGCACGAATGGGCCGGCTCGACCGGAGTGATACCGCGGCCTCACAGAAAACCGACGTGAAGCAACGCTTGCGTTGTGTTTCGTGGTGTGAGTGAGGTTACCGGAGGACCAATTGCCCTCCCCTTCCCTAATCTCCCCAATCCCTGAATCCCCAACGATCCTCCAACTCCTAATCCCCAAAATGACGGTAACGCACTTGTAACGCCTCTGGTGTTCCAGGTGTCCACGGGCGACGCCGATTGCTTACCATCAGGTGATCTGTCTGCTCGTTTACTGGTTTATGCCAAAAAAAAGAAACTAGTACGTAAAACGTCGTAATAGAAATAAGTGCCTACTAATGTATCACATATTTTACTATCTCATTACTTTATTAATCATTTTCTTGACAATGACAATAAAAAAAAATAATGACCGCAGCAATAAATAACGTCAATATACATACAAAACTCATCAACCATGTAATTATGACTGACATGACTTCACATTATAATGGCAATAATTACTCATTTATAACATTAGAATATTATTAAAATGTTCAAAAACATGACGAAATGTTAATTGACTTTTATTTACACCTATATTAACGAATATTCTTATTATAGCAATTACAGGTTTTAAGTTTGGAAGCTGCGCAAGCTATAACTCGTGCGCATGTGTATAGTTGTAAACCAAGCCACATTTTCTTTACATTCTCGGAACAAATAGACATTAGGAATGAAACTCCCAATTAAGTTACTAGTTAAGAAAACACCTCTCAGTTCTGAATATTCAACACGTGCATAAACAATGATTTCCGTACAGTGAGTACGTAGGTTCAACAGATGAATTTCGTAGCAGGAAGTGTCAGCCACGTGGAGCTAATAATAATAAAGTCTTAGTTGACAGAATAAATTTGCAACCTCGTATTAAACTTTAATTACTGAACTGTTGAAATAATATCTTTAAATTAACTACCTACTTACTTAATAATAGGTATCAATTAAGAAGAGGCTTCTCTTACGAGAAATAAGATATTTCAGCGCCTATAATTCTTACTGAAGGTTGTTAAAAACGTTTACATAAAAATAACAAATGTTAGGTATATGCTATTTCCTTTATGTCGAAACTCAACACTTAGCACGACACGACATTTTTGCAAATAAAGTGCAAAAAATAAGAATCAGGTCCATTGTAAAAAAATATTTTTTAGTAAACACCATTCCAAACCAAATATTCATAAGCCGTGTTACATTAAAAATAAGCGTTGCATAACGAAATGTGCAATCTTTTGCAAAACAAATAATAAACATTATTTTGCAAGAATGTCCTTTCGCTGCGCTCAGTATGGTCACCGTACGAAATCGTAAGTGCCGCGGTGTTTATGCGATAGTGGGTGCATTCATTCATTCGCGTCTTAATACAAACCTTATTCCTTTGATATAAAGTTTAATATCATGTACTTTATTTATGTAAGACGACGTAACACGAAGGTCTGAAGTAATTATGGACGTTGAACTCAATTTTTCTTTTTACTTTTGCTGATATTTCCCGATTTTATTACTATAGAATAACATCTTGTCTTTTAATCCCGAAAGGGAAAGTCCAGGTCATTCAGTTCTATTACTACGTTATTACGCATATCATCTATAATTTCAAGTCCCTTTGTAATAAGGAGTGGCTCTAGCAAATAACGACAATTTAAAACTAAGCTCTATTCTGAAGATGAAAGTCAATTACTTAGGCATTGAGTTGACCTGAGGTTAGAAACACTCCATCACTTAAGACACTTAACTAATTAATTGCCTATAAACATGCATTATAATAATACGACAGTCTTATTAGAATTTTAAATTATTATTACTTTTTCGAAGTCAAAACAAAAGAAACAAAAAACCTCTGCTACCTAATCAAATCACAAGTACTTATTTTATTTTTGAAAATAATCGAGTTTCATTGGCAAAAATTACATATGTTCAGAAGTCAGTGAGCGTTGAACGTTGTCAATATTGATTACAAAAATTACCATACGGCATTGAGAACAACAATAGAAGCCAGAAGAATGATGTAACATTATTTTTAACAATTAGGGCTTCTTTTAAGGCACACAAAAATCCTTTTAAAAGTCTAAAGTTAAAAATTTTGTTCAATATGTAATTGGCAAATATTTTTCGCGTGCTATTGTAGGCATGACGGTCGCCAGTCTCAGCAAATATTGGATCGATAGAGCCAAGCGAAAAGTAACAATCGATTTTGTGAACAATACCAAAGAAACATATTTTTGGTTGTCAAGCAATACTTATAAGATATAGGAAAGAATAATAACAGGCTGATATTACTTTTAAATGGGGATCATAGAGACAAAGTAATAAAGGTTAACTGTCTTCAGTTCGAGAGTTTTGTTTTAGAACTTTAAGACTAAGTATTGCCGGTGTAGGGCTAAGTAGTGGGAGAGTCATGCTATGGCACGAATGGGCCGGCTCGACCGGATTGATACCACGGTCTAACAGAAACCCGACGTGAAACCACGCTTGTGTTGTGTTTCGTCGTGCGAGTACTGGTAACGCCTCTGGTGTTTCATGTGTCCTTAGGCGACGCCGATGGCTTACCATCAGGTGATCCGTCTGCTCGTTTACCGGCTCACCTATCTCATAAAAATAGGTATTCTGACATGGACATAAACCAAATCCGTACGCTTCTTTTGAGAATACTTTTACCCCACCATTTGAATCTAGACCACGTGCTCAACAGTCGCATTGGCTACTATGAAGATTTTATCGCTTAAGAAAACAATACTCAGAATAAACGAATTAGTTTAGGAGTGGGAGGCAAACCGTCACTCCTACTTATAAAACGTACATAGAAGTGACGTCACGCGACATTTCAAATCAATATACCGCCGAAAGTATTCGTTTCTGTAAGAAAATAAAAATTACGTGTCCAATGATTTAAAATAATCTACCAGACGGACATTAAAATAAAAGTCATGTATCTTATTTAAAAGAAAAACTCACATGTTTGATGTTAAAGTGCAGGATGCTCTCGATGTAGCTGGGCAGCTGGTTGACGACGGTGAAGTAGCCGAAGACGGAGGCTCCGTGGGTGATGATGATGGCCCACACTGGAGGAGACAGCAGCATCTTCTTCCATGGTACTGGAATGTGCTGTGGGAAGAAGATGATTTATTATCATTTGAGTAGGGAGGATTTATAATCATGGTAATAAATAAATATTATTATTGTCATCATAGCAACGAGAATACTTTAAACTACAAATCGCGGGTTACTTAAGTGAATATACTGAGAAAAGCTCTATTAGTTTCGAACCACAGCAGATAATCGACATCGCCGCGACCGCACACGCTGCTAATGAGGAAGAACCCCTCTGTAGCTCGAAACTAGTAGAGCTTTTCTCAAAATATTCACTTAGGTAAACCGCGATTTTTAGTTAATTTAATATGTCACACGATACAGTGACAGTTGTAGAGATTTATTTATTTAAGAGGTATGAAGATCAGGTTTTTATATTACCTATGTTCATTAAGTTCATCATTAAGTATTATACGTCCCATAAATCAGTTAACGCATTTAACTTAAAGAAAAGAATATAAAGTGGCCAATAGATTATCTCGTAGTCATCTTCATATAAGTATTTTATATAGGAAATGTAATATCAATTATGTACATAATAAAATTATAAACATGAAACATATGACACATTTATTTAAAATTCAAAAATTTCACTCATTATTCCATACAAACGCCATTTTCCATGGCACTAATTCCCAGAATCGAATCACACATTGCTGCGTGCTTATCATACGAGTTGACTCAATCTACATGGCATCATTATTACTGCACATTTCATTATTTAATAAAACCATGTCCTCTACAATCTGATACGAGATACAAGTTAGATATCACAAAAATAATATTTCATTTTTAATATAGTGTAAAAGCTGTTATTGCCGTTAAAAAGTTAATAAAAAAGTAATATTGTAACTGTGTTCTGGAAAACTATTGGAAAATACCCATAAACGCAAAGAAAAAATCGTAGCTTGTGTTGCTCAACAGACATAAAGATGAAATTGAATCGTAGTTGGTTAGTTGCTAGATCGACATAAAAAACTGTACATTTGACAAACCCATGGGAGAGTTAGCGCAATATCTGATTCTGTTCTTAGTCTGTGACGCAATTAGACAATCAACATTATTCGCGGTCCTAACATAGTTCGCAGAAAAACACGGAATTTACCCTGTAAGGAAAAGTGTCGCCAAGAATTACGCCTTTGCAATGCGCAACGGTATTTTAATTAAAAACAACATAAATCTCAGCATTGTAATTAATGTAATTAAAACAATACAATTTATTACAATGAGCTAAAATTACACGTAGCGAATTTAATGTGTAGTCAAGTTTAGCTCCGCATTTCATAGCCACATTAAAATTTAAAACGCATTAATTGTACGTGGGAGGCATTATAACATTCTTTTTTTAAATTCCTTATGTTTTAGCGCATTTGTTACTATGTCAAGTAACATCCTGGCCGGTAATAATAAATTAGAAAAAAAACTAAGTGCGCAGTAAAATAGGTAATGCAATTATTTGTCTTGTTTTTTTTTTCGAACGGCATTGACAACCTGTTTTTAGCATGTGGTGGTAAGTCGTACGACATTTTTTTTTACAATTAGAATGAGGATGCTGTTTCATATAGCGATAAATAAAATATAATTGTAATTTAAAATGATAAACGTGAACACAATATACTATGTTTATGAAAAGGAAGTTTTTTTTATAATAATATAGGCTAAGAATTAGTATTATTTAAATATTATTTGTTCATCAAAGCATGTGAACATTACAGTATTAGTTTAGAATAACATTACCTCTTTGGGTCTTAAAACGCGTGACGATGTGTTTATGAAGAATGGAGAATGGCCATTAATATTGAGTTAGGTTAAAGCAATATTTTATGGCCTTAGTAATCAAAGCACGTAAGACATTGTGGAAGGTTTTTGTTCCAAAAAGTTTATGACTCAGGACACATACCTACGTGTAGTACGTTAGAACTTAATGCCTGCTATGTGCAATTTTGTAAACTTGACAAATTAAATTAAATTAATATACTTTACCGTCTCTAATACATTACTTTGTCATCTATGAGATCTGAGATTTTTAGAAATAACCTGGCTACATAACAGGAAGTTTAACATTTAGTAGGAAAATGCCAAAAACTATAAATTTTCTTAAAAACAAATCTTTCATAATTTAGACAAATGAATTTTAAATAATAACTTTAATACGAAATCACAAGTGTTTAACTATAACAATACATTCATTAAACCACTTGTACAATTACAATCATTGCAAATCTGAAATCTAAATTTATGCGCAGGCGCACAAGCTATAATTTATGGCGTTGTTCACACATTGTCGACTAGTGCGTACATCTATTGTTTGGTTTTAAGAAGGAAGTGGGCGATTTTATGGAAACTGGTGATTCACGGCCACAGTATTTGATTGAGATTTAAGTATTAGCTTTTGCCCGCGACTTCGTACACGCAATCCCGTTTTCTCCCGTTCCCGTAGGGTTTTCAGGACTTTTTCTGTCTTAAGAACCTTTTCCTAATAATAACAAATACAACAAAAAAAAGAATTAGTGAAATCGGTCCAGCCATTGACGCGTGATGTCGTGACTAAGTGAAAAAGGGATTTTTACATATATGTAGATTTTTGATGTTACTTCGTTTATCATTATCTTCTGTTTTGTGCATCCTTCGTTGTCAGTTAATAAAGCGGCCATAACTAATAATGTGCACCTCTGCCTACCCCTTCGAGGATAAAAGGCGTGATGTTATGTATGTATGTAACTAATAATCTTTTTTTAATAAAGTAAAAATTAAGGACATTAGATACCTCAGGACAACTCGGTGTTTCAACCTCGGTTTCTGAGAATGAGGGAATAATTACAACGAGTGCACATAAAATATGCCACTTGAGTACAGCTGCACTCTAAACTCGAGTGAAAAACCCAAACACTTGATTGAAGTACTAGTTCTATTCACATCTAATGCGCAAATCATCGTCATGAATTCATCATTCAATTGTATTACAAGATGGACGACAATGACAATATCAATGTAAAATAAAAATGTTGCGTATTTAACAACAATTAAAGGATAATCCATCGTGGTTGTAATGCTTTTTTTTCATCTCAATAAATATTTTTTCCTGTGCGAGACTTTGCTTCGCCATTTCTTTTCTAATACTTATATTCTGACAGTTTGAGTATTTGTGCGACCCACGCAAATGTTCTTTAGGTTGGTATTGTTCGTCGAATCAGTCAGCCTCACCTGTTAATTGAGCCAACTGTAAACCGACACATGCGTACTGCCTTCAGAACGGGTCCGCTCAAACTGTTGTGGTTCTTTCCTCAAAAGACCACTACAGAAAGAACTTGCACGGTTCTCACACATAATCTGTTATACATATTGTCTGGACTTTAAAAGAGACAGACCTCTGAGTTTGTTTCGGCATTTCTTCTCAGAGTAGTCAGTTAGGAAATGTCGACCTCATCGTTCGCTTGATAAAATTGACGTGTAAAAGTGCTGCCTTGTAGCCTATTTGCAAAAATAAATTCACTTGTTATCACTATACTAAGTGACAGTCTAACGTCCTTAAAGTGTCGGAGAACCTAACGGATAACCGGGGCTCCGGGTCGACGTGCAGGAGAAGGAACGGGATGGTTTTTAGTCAGTAAGAGTCTGACACTCCCTCCCGCCTCACCCAGGCGGGAGTAGGTAGTCATTCGATGATTTTCCCCGCATAAAAAAAGACTGTCACTTTGACAGTTAAGCCGCCATCTTTACATTTTTGGCGCCATTTCGTGTGTGATGTGAGAATTTTCAATTTCTATTTCCTTTCCTGCCTCATACACAAATGTCGTCAATACTAATTGAAAAAAAAAATGATGAATAGAAAAAATATGTAAATAATTGATAAAAGTATTAACATTGTTGTCAAATGTCAGCTCAGTATCAATACCATAGATGTGGGAGCACGGTAGTGCAAAGTGTACCCGCCAAGTCGAGCATGAAAGCGGTACAGGCGTAGCATCTTTTTTCGAAGCGGTCAAGATAATTTTCAGTTAGAATTTTTCTATTCACACATTTAAATACCATTTGTCAACCGAGCCGAACAAGCGTTTAACAGTTTCCTACCTAATTAGTTACGCAAATGATGACAAATGTTCCAATTCGATTATATTCAAATGACTAGCCTTGATATGCATTGTGCACACTTCAATTTATTTATGAGTATGTAATTTTGTTATGTCGGCGGAATTTTAATTCGCACAATGTTAATCGTTGCCAAAAATTCCGTAGTCAGAAAGGGCATTCGATTGATGGGGTTTTTCCTTAATTTAATTTATGCTGGAGGGCTTACAATGCAGGTTTGGCAATGAGATCGATTTATCGTGTTGTCAAGTAAATTGAAGGTTGTGTTGCAATAAATAAAATTCATTTTCGTCTGTTACTAATTAGATTTGGAAGGTGTTTTCCACAAACAGTCTTAGAAAGGTGCAGTACAGTAAAGTTAGAGAAGATGAGATGTTATTAAATTATTAAAAAACAGGTAACTTGGCGACTTTTTAACCAGCAATTGAATACCAAGGATCAGACCGAAGTCTTGTTCATATTATACGATATGAGAATTTCAAGAAAGCAATAAATAGTAGACAATGTTACTTACTCCTTTGCTGTTGTTGTCCTGTGGCAGCGCCTTCATGAGGTAGTTGCGCTCCGTCTCGGATATGCGAGGGTGCTGACCTGGAGTATCGTATACCACTGCGAACCATGCTACTGACCACATGACTCCGATGATACCTGTAGGATTAGAGAGACTTAGACTATATGCTGGTAGTAAATAAAGTCCAATTTTGCTAATTAAAGAACCAATTTTTCATCATCACCATTTTCTGTCCACTATACTGTTCTTTTATCATAAACTAATGGACAGTCAATTATGAGACTTTTAAATTAGCAGAATGTGGACCCAATTATACCACCATATTCTCTACAGAGCATCTTTCAAGGGCTTAGCTAATAAAGGCCATTATATTAAACAGAATTCATACTTCTAGTCCACAAACACCAACTTTCTATGAGTTTTATTATTTCAATATCTCTAGGTGATAACTCTGAAAACTTTCTCCGGCACCTCTAACTCAATATCGTTACGACCGTTTTGATATTCCAGTCGAGTATTCTATAAGTGCTAGAAAACCAGATAATAACTAAATATACAACGAACATGATCCTTTAGTGGGCTCTAACTTATTTGTAATCGATATTGAAATGCTAATTTACAATACCTTTTCCAAGTACTTAAACTAACTGAGTAGGAAGTGCGTAGATTAATTAGATATTAATTATTGTTTTTTAAACTGTCAAACACCGCGAGGACACCGGTGACCGCAACCTATTGTTCTATAATTGTGTCTACAAAGACTGTACTCAACGAGTTAATTAATTGGATATTGTATTTTCTATTGTGTCTCAAATCGGTGCATTCAAGCGGTTAAATGATTTGGTTGACGAAATAGAAAGCTTTTACTCAAAATTATGAGTAGAATCACGTCATCTAAGTGCAAAGACCATTGTCAACCTGATTGACCAGTCAGCAGACCAGAGTTTGGACATCCTGGACATTATTCACATACGTATACGACGTAAAGCATCGTAGATGTGGCCTGCATAATAGAAATAAAATTAGCTACTACGTCATTGAAAGGTTGGGTATTTAACTAATTTTTTTTAAAATAAACGTTGCCCCACATTAGGATTTTCTACTGGGTCGTGGGTGTGTTTACAAAAACACAACAACGTTCACATACACAATGACACCCAGACCCGAAACAACAATTTGTGGATCACAAAAAGTGTTGTTCCGTTCGGGAATCGAAGCCGGTTGCCCAGCCGCACCAACCGTGCAGTCAAATATACCCATTTCAATATAATCACCATGAAGGTTAAATCCTCCTTAAATTATGTGGTACTTTACCTGTGAAGTAGAAAGCTGACTCCCATCCGAAGTGGGCGATTAGGAAACCGCAAATCGGCATGGTCATCGCTGCACCTAAGGATGACGCTGCAAGAAACATACTGAGGTTAGGAAAAACAAATAAATTATGGTTTTGAAGTTCCAAGAAGCGAATTGATTAAAGTTCCAAGTATATTATGTACCTGTACAGAATCCTTATGGCCATTTCTACCATTAGGTCCGAATACTGAAAGGCTACCCAATTTTTTTTATGGAATAATATGCAAACGAGCAAACGGTTCACCTGATGGTAAGCGATCAGCGCCGCCCATGGACACCCACAACACCAGAGGAGTCACAAGTGCATCGCCGGCCTTTTAAAAAGGAGTACGCTCTTTTATTGAAGGTTTGGAGGTCGTATATTTATCGTAGCTTTTTTTAAATAGTACTTAAATATCGTGCCATCTCTGTCATTTTACAAAGAATTCGTAGTGACAGATATACTTAAGCTCGATTTAAAATTGAGTAGCGTTTGAGTATTTCAACGTTAGTACCTAAATTAAAACCCTTACTGGCACTGTTAAATCTCATTTATAGATTAGTTCAAACCAAAATTTTGTTAATGTCACCCATCTTAGCTTAGAGATTCCTTAAAATTTCAGAGAGTGGTGCAAAACGGGCATAAGTCCATAAGATTCATAATGGTTACGAAGTAAATCTTTACTTAGACTTCATTTAGCAATGATTGGCTGACTATATTATGCTGACTTGGAATCTCACTTCCGCGTATATTTTCTACAGACACATCTAAACCTATAAATACAAGATTTATATGTATATAAATAGGTTTTATGGCAATATAAACGTAGTTGTAATACAGCTATTTACACCGACCTAAATCGATAGGCTGACTTGTTTATCTAGGATTTTGAGCTTTCAATTTATTAAGTGTTCTAGGAAATCTTTTACAATCTTTTACAATAACTCTGCTTACAATGTTGCAGTACTACGTGGATATAGTTATCGTTATTAATCACAGCTCTTTTCTGTGTTACTCTAAGTGCCTTCACACTATGCGTTTGTCGAGCGTAGGCGGTTGATAAACGTATGCGTTGCACAGACGCCGCATTGGAAAAACTGTGAAGGCGCTCTTATAATGTAGATGCAAAACATTGTTTCTTTATCTATCTTTCACGTTGTAATAGAACATTTATACGGTATGGTTTTTGTGTCTGAAGATAGAAAAGGTGTCTTATACATAAAGACATCGATGGGAGGAGGCTACACTTTGTTTCCTGTGTACAGGACCTGTTGCCAAATGCCACTTAGCGCTTGTCTACATGTAGAATAGAAAACCAAATAAGATAGAATTGACGTAAATTTTGACACTTGTCAGTATCATATCTATACATTTAGATTTCTACTCTCTCTGTAGACAAGCGCTAAAGTGGCGTTTGGCTAAAGGCACTGGTGTGCTAAATATGATAATTTTATCTTAATTATTTGTAAGACTGACAGGAATAGATATCTATCTTTATAAACACGACATGGTTACATGGGTAATCTTCATCTTCAAGGAAAAGAAGCAATAAATGGATCATAAGTTGAATAACTGTAGTTTACTGTAGTATCGGCTAAGACGGTGGATTATCCACGAAATTACAATTATTCTTCAAGGTAATTGTTGCTTATGAACTTAATTCTGCTAATTGTACTTATCAGTGTAATATAGAGCTTGTGTTAAAATGATTAATGAAGATGAAGATCTGAATTTTATTTTAGGTGTTACGACCATTACGCTAACGGGGCCGGTCAGACGTTTATCACTGAATTTGTTTATTTTATTAAGAAAATTCATGTGTTAATTTTTAATATGACTGCCTGAACGTTCCTTGGGGCAGAAGTTAGTGATATTTTTTATCTACTACTCGGCTCCTATTGGTCATAGCGTGATGTTTTATAGCCTATAGCCTTCCTCGATAAATCCACTATGAAAAAGTTTCGGATATTATCGTGTTGAAACAAACAAACTATTCAGCTTTACCTTCAATACATAGTATAAAACAAAGTCGCTTTCGCTGTATGTCCGTAAGTATGCTTAGATCTTTAAAACTACACAACGGATTTTGATGCGGTTTTTTTTAATAGATAGAGAGATTCTTAAGGAAGGTTTGTATGTATAATACATGCATATTGCACCCGTGCGAAGCCGGGGCGGGTCGCTAGTTAAGTATAAAATTATTTGGTTTCATAACAACATAATTAAATCCTTCATACATCCCACACACAACTTTCTACATCAGATATCATTAATCATGCAAGCCATGGGTAGGCAGAAAAATCGAAAGTTAAGAACAGGAGTTTGTTGCAAACTATTAAATAGTTATTGAGTAAGAGCAACAAAAAATGCCCGCCGCTATTTAATCGTGAACTTGGCAATGGTCGGGAGTAGGTCACGTAGTGTTGCCAACCACGCCTTGCAATGTACAATGACGTATATCGTAAACTAAAATGCTTTATTATACTAAAACTGTGTATTGTATTTTAAACCTTATTTACTTTAGCTTTATATTCAACTGGAATTAAAGTGTCTCATGTTAACAAACGTTATGGTTCATTTCACTGCAGTGATGGATTTATAAATAGGCCGTATATGCCGCGGTCAAGGGGCGGCAGATTGGAGAGGACGGTCACTCGATTTAAGATGATAAATGCCAAACACGATCACTAGTTTTATCATGGTTTTTTATACTTTAAATAAATCCCTATATAAACTCATTCTTATCGAAACCTAGCGGTGATAGATGAGAGCAGTGCGGCTCTCGTCGATTATAAGTCGCGGAAGGGGTTACCGGGGCTCCGGGTCGAACAGCAGGAGAAGGAACAGGGTGGTTTTTAGTAAGTAAGAGTCAGACATTACCACTCGCCTGATCCAAGGCGGGACTAGACATTAGATGATTTTTCCCCCCTCAAAAATTAAAGTAGGTACTTGGGGCAGCGAAAAAAAGTGGCTTAAACTCATAAACAATATAAATCCGGCACTGTTTCACTGCCATATTATATAATGAATCTGTTCAACCGTTTTTGCAGAAACTTATAGTTATGGATTCATACTAAGTTATATTAGAGACGAGTATGAAATACCTATATTCCAACTACCTTCTGAGGCCTTAGTACGAGTTTGTTGTACGTTTAAAGTAATAGTAACGAGTATGCGCTTTGATTGGTTGGTTCATTGGCACCGGCCAATCAGAGCGCCGAACGCGTACTCGTTTCGAATACTTTAAACGTAAAACAAACTCGTACTAAGGCCTCTGCTCGCGGCTTCACCCGTGTTCACGTGGATAGTAGCTTAATATCGGTTATACCAGACCGACAAAACAAAACACCATGTCGTCGAGTCCTCGTTACTTCGTTCATAAATCGTTGAAGAGTTTGTCCAGAGTTTCTTAGGCCGAATGTCATGCAGTTGAACTCGAAGAGACCAAAAGTAGTTACCTCTATTATTGTCACTTGTCGTCTTCTTTAGCGATAGGTATACAGAAGTACTCCATCTTGAGGTCGAGTTTGGAAAATATTTTCTTGCCGTGGAGTATCGTAGTAGTATAGTAATCTACGATAGTTCCAAATCTTTTCCCTATCCCTTTTTGGCGACAATGAGTTACAAACGTACTAACAAACACACTCACAAGATTTTCGCATTTATAATACCTACTAGCAAGATACTGACAAAGAAGGTATCATTCTATACATAAGTAACTACTTATATAAACATAGTTTTGCTAAAGTAGATAGGTACACTAACTACAAGCAATCCCCTATGTACATTATGTAGGTGTGAAACACAGTTTACACTTAGCAAGCATGTGCTGTACTGTTGTGCTTGCGCAAAGAACAGAGGAGCCTCTATCTTGGGCCCTAGTAGGTGCTGCATAATATACCATAATACAGATAGACGTGTACATTATAATAAGCTCTTTCTAGACACTTTTGTGTAGAATTATAAGTGTGGGAGAGCCATGCTTCGGCACGAATGGGCCGGCTCGACTGGAGTGATATCACGGCTTCACAGAAAACCGACGTGAAACAACGCTTTCGTTGTTTCGTCGTGTGAGTGAGGCTACCGAAGGCCCAATTACCCCTCCCAGTCTCACCAATCCCCGGATCCTCCACAATCCTCAAATCCCCATTTCCCAAAAAGCCGGTAACGCACTTGTAACGCTTTGGTGTTTCAGGTGTCCAGTCCATGAGCGGCGACGATTGCTTATCATTAGGTGATCCGTCTGCTCGTTTAACCGGCTAATGCCATAAAAAATAATTATCTCATTACTTCTCATAAAGTTGAGGACTTTGGAATATGCCACGTATGATGATATGTATCTTTTAATCTACTGAATCATACAGATACTAATATCATATCTTACAGAGTTATGAACAATATACATTTTTACGCGCATGAATCAGATTTATTAATGAAAAAATGTCGCATACAGATAAACTACGACCTACTTAGAGGTATCTACTTAACATATCTTTTATCTTGTGTCCACATATGTGGGTAATCTAATAATCTGGTACATACATTGGTCAAAGATAATAATTTTAATACACGTAATGAATGGCTGGGAATAAATTTTTCCTTGCTGTCTCGGTAGGAAAGTTCCTAGAAGCGAAGAGGTCAACGCATCAGAGTGACGTAGTGATCTACTTAGTCTGGTCTAGTTTAAACAATCGTTCACTGTTGCTAAGGCGCACTTAGGTATATTGTACATCGGACATCCTTACTAATGTATATGTTTGTCTTTTTACGTCACCGGTCGCTACAAAGCGATTTTGGATTTGTGTTTGACGATTCGATGTGTTTTTGTATACGATGACGATGTGTCTTTGTATACGATATACGTCGATCACAGAGCAGTCCGCTCACAATTAAAAGCCCCACAATGATTTGAAAGTAGTCGGGCATCTTCAAATAGCTTATGTTTTAACACAGTTAACACGTTAACCGCCGCGTCGGTAACCGGTGACCTAAGTTAGCGGAGGATATACCTCCACCAATTTCTGTTAGCCGTCAAATAGTGTGTGTAGTAAAATTAAAACTTGCATCTTAACTAAAGCATGAGGAAGAGGTATATGGTTCGAAACTAGTAGAGCTTTTCTCAGTATTTTCTCGTGAGTGACCCATAATTTTTAGTTAATTTAGTATGTCTCACGATAGTTATTATAAAAACGTATTTCTCGACGATGATGATGCCAAAATAAGTTTCAAAAGTACAAGGAAGGCTATAAAACATACATAATAATTGCCTACATTTGCAAGGGTTTTACCTTTTCCTCGAAAATACCTAGACCCACTTGGCAAAGGACGACTCGAAGGGCGGTGCCGTGACTAGATTAAAAATATAATTACTGTTTACGGTCGAAAAGGAAATGAATGAGGTTTAATTTTAAAGAATTATTAAAAGCCGCTATTCTGATTCTTGGAAATACTTGAGATTGAGACTATTTGGGTGGGCAAAAGGTCGAATTTAAGTTACCTATATTACTGCCGAAGTTTATAACCGGTATTATTGCGAAATCTGGATCGATATCAGGTGCTTAACAGAAACTTCAGATAAATGTCTAAAATCGATTTAAACTGTCAAACACCAAGCGGTCACCGGTGACCGCAACCTATTGTTCTATAATTGTGTCTATAATGACGGTACTCGACGAGTTAAATATCGATTTAAACTGTCAAACACCAAGCGGTCACCGGTGACCGCAACCTATTGTTCTATAATTGTGTCTATAATGACGGTACTCGACGAGTTAAATCTACAGATTATGCATTAGAATCGACTGTTAGTAAATAATATGATTAACAGAGTTTATTACTTAATTTATTTATTGCTTCTAATGTAACATCTTTAGTAACCATCTTATCTTTTCCGCCCACGAGGTGACGCTTGCATAGTTTTCAAGGAAGGAAAAGCAAGGTGTGCTTAAAGCGTGTCTTTATCTACTCCTATAAGGAATTGCAATACAATCGTAAAATGATGTCATTCATTACCTACTATGTCTTTTATTATATCCTAGTTATACTATGTATAACATAATATAACATCACGTCTTTTATCCCCGAATGGGGTAGGCAGAGGTGCGCATTATGCCACAGTACAATGTAACACCCACTTTTCACTATTTATGTTATGAGTCCCATGTAATAGGAGGTGAGCCTATTGCCATATACCGGGCACAATTCCAGCCCAGACAGTGCTACCACTGAGATTTTTTTTAAAACCCAGTTATACTTGACTGCACGGTTGGCGCGGTGGCTGGGCAACTGGCTGCCGTGCAACGTGTCGCGGGTTCGATTCCCGCACGGAACAACTCTTTGTGTGATCCACAGATTGTTGTTCCGGGTCTGGGTGTCATGTGTATGTGAACTTGTATGTTTGTAATTAAAAAAAAAAAAAAAATACTCTGCCCGACCCGGGAATCGAACCCGAGACCCCTTGCCCGGCAGTCGCACTTGCGACCACTCAGTCAATGATGCATTCTCATTACACTATGTACTTTCTAAGATAATTACCAACTTCAAAAAAAAGGAGGAGGTACTATGTTCGTATCTTTGTTTAGACACCACAGACATACGAAAACTTTGTGAGGAAATCTGTCTTGGGCAAACGCGGTAATTAATGCTCAAACCTTCTCCAGTGTGAGAAGAGGTTTAATTCATCAGATTCAGAAGGCACTTAGGACTTAAACTGTGGATGCCGATTGTCTCTAAAATAGATAAGCTTATTACAAGTCATCCCCTATTTTTATTGACGTCAATACCTATAATAATGACTATAACTAATGTTTTGTTTACGTATGGTATTAACTAATAACATTGACAAGTATATTGCATTATGTACGACAAGTGTATGACACGCAAATTATCGTATCATGATCATACAACTGTCAAGATAAATATGTAAAATGACATGTAAATGAAGTGCAAAGTGGGCTACCTAAAAGTTTATAATAATAAAAATATTACATTAAAAAGCTTGATCAAAAATTGTAGATGGATCTGAAATTCCATCTAGAATTATATTTTATCTAAATTTAAGATTTTCTAAAGGTTTTGAATGCCAATAGAAAACTATTAAACGCGAATCTTCCGCTAACGTCGATCACTGCTGACCCCCATGTCGTTTAATGTGTTAAACACATTCTTCAATATTGTAAATAATAGTCCTTTCAGGTCATCGTTCGTAGTTACAAGAACTTTGCTCCAATATAAACTAGTAGGTAAATTGTAAAACCATTCTCCGACTTACAAAATTAACGAAACACTATTTTTTTCGCAAAATGACCTCTCCGCTTCAGAAGATAAGGTCCATAACAACTGCAACAGTGTTAAGTTGAACTTATGACCCAGTATTTACGAACAATGCACGTAGAGTAGTGAACCGATTCCATTTCATTCATTAATCAGTTAGTAACAAACGGCAAAGGGTAGGGTTACCATCATTTTCGAATTTACTGAGACATTTCTTTTGACAACTCGAAAAAGATACTAAACCTCTGAATGGTTTCTACCTGCGTTCTTCTAGAATGTTCTAAAGCTAAACAATTTCTTCGAAACTTATTTCGTCTACCAAATTTGGGTCAATTGAAAATTGAAGAAAGTGTGTCAAGTTGTATTGTCACTTTTGTTTTTACAGTTACGCACTCGTCTGTGTTACAGTTAGAGCAAAAAATGTGACAACACTTGATGTATCGTATGGACACGTGTTATATTTTATCTGTGTCTCCTGATATAAATGGCTGCAGAAACCTCGACGCAATATATGTTTGCGATTACATTAGCCTCCGCCATTCATATTATGAGTAATAGCAATCGCTGATAATCAGTTAAAGGAAGCTCTTGTCGAATCAAGTAAACAAGATAAAATTTTATTGCGAACTGACAATTATTTGATTTATATTTTCGACATGTTACGACCCACATTCTACACAGAGGCTGTTAAGATACAAGTGCTATTGACTTGAAGCATAGAACATTCGAGCAAGTCTTTACGTCACCATTTCACTAAGTTATGTACATTACTTTTATTAATGTTACGTCAAAGTTGACATATTTAAATAATAGGCATGGGTATTGTTAGTCAATGCAAACAATCGCGAATCTCGTTTATTTAAGAAAGGAAAATGGGCTGGTAAATGAGCAGACGTATCACCTGATGGTAAGCAATCTTCGATACTTGCGAATATCATGACATAAGTTTTTCAAAATAGTTGAGGCGAGTCTATTGCTATGGATATAAATTATGTAATGATTATTATTTAATATACCTGACATCATACAGTGTTTTTTAATAATTATTATAACTGTCTTGTATTTTGTTCCGGGTAATGCCTGAGTAAACGTTTTTAGTACGACGCACAAGGAAATGCATTACTACGAGTTTTGTAACCAAGGTTCCATTAACCATGAATTAATAAGCAGATACCTACATGTAATTTAACTTATGATCAGAATCTAAGTCACGACGCCGCAATTTTACTACTTCTGAGAAAAAATAAATTAAATCTTAGATGCAGCAAAACTAATTAAGATAATTCCCACAGAAAAAGAAACAAAGACGTAGTAAATCGTGCAACTGAATAAAATTTTTGCTCAAAGCGGATGTGGGTACATTTAAGGACAAAGTCATCAGAACTGCATTCGAGAATAGACTCCGACGCGTGTTCCTAACCTTGCCCACAATCATAGTCGCCATAGCCACCACGTGACCGCACGTCCCGTACTAAAATAATACTAAGCCGCGATTCTCAGAACTGGTTAACTGCAGCATGGCAACGGTTGCGCAAGGTTAAATCGCGCGGTCAGCATATAACAGCCAATGAGAAGGCGCCAATGGTGTGACGTCAGCGACCACGCCTGCGCGCGCCTCCGCGGCCATATTGTAGCTTTCAAATACACGCATCACTGCGAAATGTTTGCGCAGCGACACGGAGCGATAACAATTCGAGCCCTCTTTACGTGTACGTTACACTTATGATATTGGATATCACAAACGTCAGATGACGGAGGAAAGCGGGGGCCGGTCAAGGCAGACTGATAGCTTGTTGTAACTCAGATTTATGTCGCCCTCTTTGAACTCTACAATTCGCAGACGTCAACTACTAGTATATTTTGCATCATTAATTGCAATAAATGGCGTTTTTATGAGACCGTTAGTCAGGCAAAACATTTTCTTAATAATAACCAATTATGATTATGACTTCTTGGAACTTCGTTTTTTATGACATACCTAATTATAAGTATTTCTTAGCACTTACCCATCATGTTAGACATAAATTTTGATCTGTCCATTGGTGGAATCCATTTAGATGCCATTGGCAGGATAGCTGGCCATGTCGCTCCGAGAAGGAATCCTAGTAATACTCTGACTGCAACAATCCATCCGAAGCCGAGGGCTGCAGAGCCAGGAGTAAGGAGGGTGAGGATACTGGCTAACAGGGTGCTGTATCCGAACACCCGCCTAATAAAAAAAAAAAATTAATATAGCGACAAAACTGAAAAAATACTCGTTCAGATTTTGAGTTTCATATAAATCATGAAAATCAGTATGTCTACGATGTCTTAAAGGAAAAAAATAAAGTTGCGTGTCATCTATGTGACAGGCAATTCAATACGAGGCACGTCAAAAATCTGCCAGCCGCATCGACTGACACGCCAACATTTCACGTATGATCACACAACGCTCAGTTACACGATAACGTTCATAAATCGCGCAGCGCATGCCCGCATACATTGCGAGAACGTTCCGCGTGAATCATTTACCGACATCTCCTTTTTAAAACCATCCGAACAATTCTCTGACTTAAATTTCTGCTCGCCTCAAGGTGATTTTCAGTATTGAAAGTTTCTCCGTTCGTAAACAAAACCACGTTGGGATAATGACTCCAATCAATAGCCAAAAAACTTGTTCAACTTGATTTCAGCGTCCTCAATATAGTAGTGTTATTCATTCAATTAGTCAGCAACCGGTCCAAGTCTGGCACAGTCACGAGTGCTGGTGCACTGGATAATTAATTCAATAGCAATATTTATAATTGTATCAATTGGCATTAATAGAGTCGTTTGTATTTATTTGCCCCGGCTCCCTGTTCGGCAAAACGTGTAACGGTTGCTATCGCGTGACAAGTTCGTTTTTTTTTGTATGTAACTATTATTATTATAAATTGATATTATAAAGGAATCACACATGCTTAACTAGTAACAACTGTTATTTATTTTTTATTGTAAATTTGTACATTTTTGCCTGTAATGTAGCTATATTTATACCGAACATGGCGTGAGATGTACTCATAATGAAACCACATCTCATAATAATAATAATTGTTAGCAATATAATGGCGTCGAGACCAACTGTTCTGTGTTCTATTATGAGTGATTATCATAGTTCAAACCGATGGCAAGGACCAAAATTTTCTGTCCAATCAGCTTCGTTGACTCTTTTTGACCCTTTTATTAATAGCTTCTAGAAAGTTCGACGATAAATTATTTGGACGCGCAGAAAATACGAGGCAACTGCGACGTGTATAATTTAAAATGAAATAACGCCTATACGCCTGATTGCATCGCGAAAAAATACTAATGTCGAACGTAACTTATTGAAGAGAATAAAAATGTCGGAACCGGTCCCGATAAACGAGAAATGCATGGTTACTAATATTTCAAATTCGAAATGCAAAAGTCAATGTGAATAATTTTCGGACGGCGGCATTCGGTCGCTGCACTCTGCGAGACTTTTTTTATTTACTCTCCCACCTCTTCATTAGTGTATTTACATGGTGTTGCCAACAATGAATGGGATAGTATTGAAAAAAAATACTTGTTTACTATTCAGGGGCCAAGTTTTTGTTGCGGACCGATACGAAAACAGTTATTATTTGCAAATTGGTCGGCATTGCGCCGAGTTGTGCTTGGGGATTGGCTGTGTTTAAAACAGTTACAGTTGCCAAATGCTCTTTATAATTCAGCCTGGAGTATGAGCTTATGTATCTACGCGAACTAAAAACATGACTTTCTCACGCGACTTCTATATTTAGAAGCAAATGGTACAAAAACGTGACCACCGAACCGTTTGAACAGGTTGTGGTCAGGTCCTTAAAGGGATGATCTTCATAATAAAATAATTTAACCTGTACGAATTAGTCTATATTAAATCGAACATGACTACTTAAAGAACTTGGCCTAGTTGTAGTGTATAATGAAAAACCGGTCGGTCATTGCGTTCCTAAGGAAACTTATAATAACATGTTGTTTAAGGACTTGGTTGGTAATCGATCCGCGAGGTGAAGCAACAATGTACTTGGACTTATATAACAAAAACCCACAAGAGCCTCCAAGAGATAAAAAAATATGCAACAACATAACGTCAAGCCTTTTATCCCGAAGGGGTAGGCAGAGGTGCACATTATGCCGCTGTACAATGTAACACCCACTTTTCACTATTTATGTTACGAGTCCCATGTAATAGGGGGTGAGCCTATTGCCATATACCGGGCACAATTCCAGGCTCCGTGCTACTACTGAGAATTTTTTTAAAAACCCAGTAATACTTTGCCCGACCCGGGAATCGAACCCGGGACCCCTTGCTTGCATAAAAAATATGAGTTGTCGAAAATACAATTTCCATCAGAACTTTTATATAAAATAGAGAATAATGTAGTTTTTGTCTTACCTAGCACCAATAATTTCTGCCAGTCTGCCACCTGGCAGTTCTGTGAGCACGTAACCCCAGAAGAAGCAACCAAGAAGGTGATTCTTCTGTTTCGTATCCCAGTGGTAACGAGTCTGCTCGATATGTTCTGGGTGCTAGAAGATAAAGAAGTTATTATATTCACCATCCATTCCTTGTATAAAATGTAATGTAACCTGTAACTAAATTTAATGTTCCAATAATTCCGTATTTATATAATTAGTAATTGACATCCTAATGTATTTTTTTGTTCTTTTCTTTTTTGAGATAGATATGCTCCCATGGAATCATTTGTTATTTTTTTGTATGTTTTGTTTATCGTTTTATTTTTTGCATGTGGTGTTAACCTATAATTAATTGTTGCACTTGTAAATGTTTCTATAGCTTTTTAATCAGTAATGTATATAGTGTAAACAATTGTTGGTTAACCAAAATAAATAAATAAATAAAAAATAAAATGCTAATTGGCTCTTATTCCCATGAATCTTTTTCTATAAATAATCCCAATTGTATTCTGATGTTTTATAAAAACACAAAGGAAATGACTATCAGTTTTGTGGTAAACGGGAATAACCCACAGCGTGGGGCTTGAAAGAGCATTGTGTTAGCTTGAAAGATTTTTTTATTTTCGCGTTAACACTCAAACAGCAAAAAGTTTTCTAAAAAATCCTTAATTGAATAAAGAAACCCATGAAATCATCTTAATTAAGATAGACTCATGAGACCTAAGACAAAAACAGCAATTATTATTAACTTCAGAGTAAGTCGCATTGGTATAATTCAGAATCATTTTACTTATAGTATCATGATTCATGACATTTCCTTCTAGAAAGTTCCATCAAATTCCTCATTCCTTTCGATCGGGCTATAAACTTCGTAAGTTTCAATTATTTCAAAGCAATAAATATTGAACGAAGTTGTAAATCTCACCTCAGTAACGTTGTGAGGTCCTAAGGTGATGTTTAAGGCAGCAGTGTGGTTGTCATTGTCATCGTAAATCATTTCTACAATTGCAATCGTGAGGTTCACTCGGAGGGCGTAGTTCAACATGAAGCCGAGGAGGACCATAATATTCAGTACTTGGACACATGTTAGACAACCTGCAACAAGAAAAGGGGGCATAAATATTTAAAGTTATAAATGCAACTTCTCAGAAACATCTTCATCATCAAGAAGGTCATGGATGTTTGTGCATGTGATATCTACAACTACGTCACACAAAAATAGTTTTTAATTGCCAATCCGACGTTCAAATTCATACAATTTGTGTCATAAAGAATTTGCGACGGATATTTTCGGCTATCAAGGACGCGGTCAATAGATAAAGATATTTCATATGACGTACTGAGCCAGTAACACAAAAAATGTAATACCGAGTTAAAATAGCACTACAGATACATAATTTTGTGTAAAACAAATTGTTATATCCAAAATCGGATTATGTAATTATACAAAAGAATATATAATTTACTTGCAAATGCGCACAATTTTATAACTGACATTTAGGTTGAGATTATTTTAAATTTATGTAAGGTCGTATTAAACTCAAACTCTTATTAAACTCATTTTATGTCAATTTTAGCAGAATCAACTTTATTAACATTGTGCAAAGAGCTTATCAATGTACCATGAATCATGATGACTAACCCTACGCGTGCCGGCGCCGTCCTACTTAGGTTAAATCATCATGTAATCCAACTTACATACAAAACAATTCGAAGAAAAATACTGATAAAATACCTAAAACATAAACCGCAGAATCAACGCATTTGCATACCTACTACGGAAAGGTTAAAAAAAACATTCACAAAATGTAGTATTTATGACAAAACAGGACTTATCCGAAAAAAGTTCAAATCATTGTCCCAGTACATAGAACATTTTGAGTTAAAAATATAAAAAAAAATACAATAAAATTATTATTACGATAGTTTTGTAAAAAAGCGTTGTTTGATGATTCGCATAACTCACTGGTTCATTCGACCTTGCTTGTAGATTGCGAACTTTATAACAGTAGCTATTACTATAACGATTATTGCAAAATACATTCTTTTGAACATAGTAAAATAAAATTCTTGTTTTCTTTCTCTGGGCATATTCGCGAATATACATATATGCTATGACAACAAGCGACGAATCATTCCTATTACTAGCTTTTATAATATTGTGGTACCAATGGTGGTACCATGTGGTAAAATTATACGCTGTACAATCTCAAACTCTTTACTTTGGCAGTTATAAAAACTAACTCTGTGGCAGTTTTTTTATCAACTTGGTTCATTAATAATAACAGGTGAACTAAGCATAGCATGTCACATGAGCTTGTGAATTATATTTGCCAGTGTGGGAAATTCTATTTATAGTTTTGATATCGTTAGCTAATGATTCATTGTATTCTATAAATGTAACAATAGTGTGTCGGATTACCTGGGTGCAAGCTAAAAAATAAATAATATATCCGTTGCTTGCGTTTTATATGTATTTAAAGTTTATAACAATAACCAATAAAGTGCAGCGTAACAAAATTTTAATTCTATTTTTTTTCTGTTTCTCCCACCATATTAGCTACAGTAGAGTAACCCGTTTCGACCGGCTCGTTATGTTTAAACGGTCGTTAACGTCACATTGACTAAGGTAATGTTCTCGCGAAACAACTAGCCATATGATCTTCCCATTAATCTGCCATTGGCACCGTATAAACAGTTAATCCATTTAAATACCGAAACGCGTGAAGTCAAGGTTAATGCATCTGACCAACCCAGTTATAGACCGGTCTATGAATTACCATAGATTCATGAATATTGTTGACATTACGCAACACCCGGCGAATATCCGAACGAATTTTAATATCTGACACAAGGACGGTATCGGTTCTGTGGACTTTATTTTAGGGTTTAACGTTAGCAGTTAATAATAGATAAGCGGTTCAGGAGTGACACTAGCAATTCTGGAATATTCTGGAATATAGAGCATAAAAAAATCTTTAATCTCTTTTCTTTATTAGATGGCAACGCATTAGTTTAAAACGTCACAGATTCTTGTTTTCCAAATCCACGTGTTTCCCCGCTCACGAGTAGGCAATTATCACAACAACGCTATGAAATATTTGCGAAAAAAAACTTGGCAGCACATGCAAACCATGTGCGCATAAAACTAAAATAACTGTAGAATACAGATAATTTTCAGTTTCAAAGATTTTATTAGAGAAAGATTTTATGAGATTTTCTTTGAGAAAAACAATTTTGATTTTATATCACGCACTGAATCATGGTCACCGCATGTGCATAAAGTAAATACTGTTTTACGTAATCGAATAAAATTAAATGTTTGAAACATTGTTTAAATAAAACTTGCGTAAAAATGTAAAAAATATGTTTTCTGGGATTCCTTTATTTTTTTACAATAACTGTCGTTTCCAATATATAATGTAACCTGACTTTTTTCTGCTAAGTCATAGTAGTGAATTGACATTTTAAACTTTTACTATTCGCATCGAGACCAGCGAAACGTGAAAACGAGTTTCCAAATAGGTCAAAAAAATGTTTGCCAAAATTGTCTGTGAGCGCCGGCGCCTGGCACCTAATATGGCTGATTAATAGTACGTTTATACATATAAAACAGCTCTAATTTTTGAGAGGTCGGACTAGAAAAAAACATCTGTCTAACAGATGCTTCCAAACATTGCTATGTCAATCATTTAGTCGATTCATCAACGTGAGGATAAACTCCATTAACCTGAAATACTGAACTGAAGGAATTCTACATTTCTAAACACTTTTAAACTATCAAAGTCCACCAAAACTAACTTACCTACACTTAATTTACGTCAACATTATGAAAATGAAGAATTCTTGAAAAATAATCATGTCATACAGGAATTTAATTAAATGACGCGTGATTACTGGCCGGCTAGTAAACTGATTTTGTGGCACGTGTCATTCTATTATGCACGTATGCAAATCGTTGGCATTCAGTGTAGACCACCTGCCGGATCATGACCCTGGCAAGTCAACGTCATCGTAAACACGAACACTTTAATCCAGATACTAATATTGAGTACTATTGACGCATGTTTAACACTATACAATCGATTTAACATTAATGTTAATTGGACGATGAAAGTTATTTTCTGATAATATGCGGGAATCCCAGAAACACATGAAAATAAGAAGTGAGTAATGCTTGAAATCAATATTTTTTAAACATTCTGCCAAAACAAACTTGATGCTTTAAAAATGATGGTCACCCTACACAATATTTAAAATTACGCAATTGTTAAAAACGAATGTTTGTCAATAATTAGGGCTATTGAAATATTGGAAATGTTCACAAGTAAACCTAAAAAAGGAAAAATTATAACGCTATGAAACTATGTAACTTAAAAATTAGAACAGATGTGACGACTAATTGACGTCACTATGTAAATTCTACACAGAGGCCTATGACGCAAAGATGTGTGTAACAAATAAGAAATAAGTAAAGAATCGATTGTCAACAGTCAGTGATGACACGAATTGACATGTGACGTCACAATGATGTAACTTATTGTGGGTATCGAATAATGACATTATAAGTCTTTCACCGTTACTATCGAGTTTTTAAAACTCCATTATTGAAATTACGTAGTTCCGCATATTGTCTGTGATCGCTTAGATAATGCAGTGTCAAATAGAGTCAATGCACTTTTAAATTGAATTCTATGCCATTTAAGTACATTAACACGTTAACCGCCGCTAGGCCACCGGTGAGCTATGTTTACTAGCGGAGGATTTGCCTTCAACAGTTTTCTGTCGGCAGTCAAATACTTAAGCACTGGTTAGGGCCTGTGGCATCTGTTGGGTTAATGTAGATACTGACCTCCTCCATTTCTTTATTATCGCGGCATTTTTGAAGATGTAGAAATGGGAAAATGGGTACGGAGTACCTATTTACAAAGACGGACACACATAAACGTCTCATCTCTTTCAAACTTACTTCAATCAATCTATATATTGATATTAACTTAGAAACAAACACGAGAAGCTATTTAAAATACGTGTGTACTTATTGAAATTTTAACTGGTTTTATATGCGGTTGTCAAATTGTCAAATCTAGGGTATTGAAAAGTTGGGTCAACACAGTACCGGTAACGAACCGGTTAATCCGAATCCGAATATTCATACGTAAATACCTACTATGCAAATCCGTTACAACTGTTTTTAAAATAATTATCTGGAGCTGCTATTTGCATAACGTGTTCTTAAATATTGAAAAGACTTGTCAATTTAAAATATTGTTCTGTGCAAAGCAAATTAAAAATGCAAATCCAATGATGTGCAATACAATGGTAAATAATTTGTTGTAAAATAAATAAACAATGAAATACTTTTTGTGAACTAATTATTTTTAAATAACCAGTCTTAAGTGTATATGTAGTTAGTTTCCTTTATTCTGTATTTTCTGTGGCAATTTGGCAATTCTCCGATATCACTCTGCATTCAAGGAAATGGTGCATTATTTTGATATAGGTACAACTACAACGTACAACAATCAATACATAGCATAAAACAAAGTCGCTTTCGCTGTATGTCCGTATGTATGCTTAGATCTTTAAAACTACGCAACGGATTTTGATGCGTTTTTTTTTTAATAGATAGAGCGATTCTTAAGGAAGGTTTGTATGTATATACATATTGCACCCGTGCGAAGCCGGGGCGGGTCGCTAGTAAAATATAAATTAAAGAATGCAATAATTAAAATTGCATACACATAATCGTAAAAATAGTAAAGTGCGATTTAACGGAAATACTGCAACGCTATTTCGAAAAAGTTAAGAAATAAGATACAGAACTTCCAAATACCTACTCTACTTGGTCGATGAGAATAATGTCAAATTTAAAAATGTAGGGTGGCCCCACAAACAAAATTTCAAGGACAACATTTTCACTGACTGTACCTTTAATGAACGTTATCAAAAAATAATGTTAAATGAAAACAAAAGAAGTGTGCCACGGTCGATACGCGAAATAAAAGCTACATGACATTTTCGAAAATAGCACTGCGCCTACGCAAGTGTCGTAAGACGGTATTTGTTGCAGACATGTGTAAATAGTCAAAGAAACTTATACTAGTACCATGCTCTGCTCGAAGGACTAATAGTACGTATGCTTAATATTTTTTAATTTCCGTAATCTTTTTTTTAATTAACTTTTTTTTCATACACACTTGATGATATAGAATACTATTATTCGGCAAACAATCTAATGGATTATTTATCAGGCAGTAAATGAGGATATTTGATGAGCAAGACGCATAATCAAGTTTTACTAAAGGTTGCATACGTCTTAAATATTATCACGTGGACTTAACTTACTAAATTAATAAAAATTTAATCCTAAAAGAATGATTCAGAACTGCAACTGCCTGATGACAAATCATACGTCAAGACGTAAAATATCAGAAATCAGGTTTCTCAACATTTTCGGTCTTGAATATATAATCTAAAATAACGCCGGTTTTTCCCCGAAGCTTTAGACATAGGTCTTAAAGATATTTATTTATTATCTACGTTACTAGTATTAGTCGCATTAAAAGAGGGAAATCCTAAGCTTAACCCCTGGCTTAAATTACGAAACTTTATCTTAGTAAAATAAATTATTTTAATAACTAGCGTCTTCAACGATTATTTTGATTTTGATCGTCGCAATCAATTCCCTAAGTAGTGACCACCAAACTAAAAAGATTCTATTGTTTTAAAAACAAAATATAACGATTTTGAAGACATTTTGGTATGGGTAGACTTCATATCCGGGTTCGTCAGCTAGAATTTACAGCTTTCTGACCCACTTGATACGGTCCTCTTAAAAATAGTGAACTGCTTGCTCTTTCGACATCGATACAAGATAATTTCATTTCTAAGAAAATCAATTGTGGTTCAAATAATAAGTTTGGTCGAGCGTAAATTGAATAAAAAGTTCGTAATTGTACTATCATTAAGGTAGCATGAAACAGACATTGGATTCCACGATGCGAATCTTGGAATAAGTTGGAAATATCCTTTCAACCGCTGTCAGAAAAACCACGATACTATGTAATTTGCAACACTAAGTTTATGGTCATCTTTTTTCCTTTAACTACGATCACAGACACGATTTTTCATGCAGCGACTCGTGACGAACGATGTAATAGCAGTTTCTAATCTACTAACGTCATAGATCGCATCTTCAGACTACACAAGGTTTTATCTGTTGAAGATTATTTTTTATAGTTCCTGGAAATGTCTATGTATAATGACATAAGCAGTGAGACATATTGAATCAATTAACTTGTCAGATCGCATAGAAATTACTTGATTAATGGAGATTACGAGCAGTTTCAAAGAGGCTCTTTGGAAAGTTAAAACGAAAGTAAGTGACGTTCGAGGCTCGAGTTGTACGCAACGTAATTATCTCAATGCGTTCGTAGAAGGACTACAGACATGATACAGACTGTGAGTGAGGTTACCGGAGGCCCAATTACCTTCCCCTTCCTCAATCTCCCCAATCCCTGAATCCCCAACGAACCTCAAACTCCTAATCCCCAAAAAGCCGGTGACGCACTTGTAACGCCTCTGGTGTTCCAGGTGTCCATGGGCGACGCCGATTGCTTACCATCAGGTGATCCGTCTGCTCGTTTACCGGCTTATGCCATAAAAAAAAAAAAAAAAAATACCTACATAACCATTTGCAAAAAAATACTTTGAACGATGAATATGCGAAACTGAAGAATTGAATACTACCTACCGGTTACTAACAATTACATGTACTGCATTAGAAAAGAATAAAATCTGTCAATCAATTGTCAATCCCTAAAAACATTTTTAATACGCTAGTAATTTTACAAATTTTTAAATAAACCTCAATTAGGTATGTCAAAGATCATTCATGCTTTGCAGCATATAATCCCCGAAGAGACGGCAGTGGTGTACCGTTAGCCACTTCACATGACCACTGCAATTACTCAGTAGCCATTAGCATGCACTTTGCTTACCGTTGAACACACATAATCGTAGCTCATCGTTTGACTGTGAAGGCTTTATGCACTTTACGACTAAGACCTTACCGACAGCATGTGATTTTATAACTAAATATCAACATCGAAGAATTTGCAAGAGAGAAAATTATAACTTACAATATAATTATCTTACTGAATATCAAAATAATATCGTTACTGAATTCAAAGTGTTTATTGAAAACAAAAATTAAATAGGAAAAAATATAAAAAAATCCGAAATAAAGGCATGTTCGCAAAGTCATGGTCACCCTAGCCAAAGTTTGACGGTAGCTGCGATGAAGTTACTAACATTATGAGGATCTTAACCTAGGTGCTAATTTGAAGGTTAAATAAGACGTACTTCCTAGTTTCAGCCATGTTTATTATATCCAAGCTCTTCTAAGGTGGTAAGCCTAGTGATCGCGCAAAAAAAGACTGGTAACCCTCCATTTTTGTCCATAACCATAACCATCAAAATCATTTTTTTTTCAACCCAAATCAGTTCGATTACTAAGGTTACTTCTATACGACATGCGAATGTAGTGTAACCACAATTAACCACATTATAATTTCCTATTCTAGGACACACTGATTAACATTTGACAGCTTCCAATTACAAAAAACAACCGTTATTAGATTGACGCCATTAAATTAGCGAAGGCGACGACGCTTCACTATTTTTTTTTCAATTAATTGTTACACTTGCCAAATCATGCATTACTGGCACACATTAAATTGAAACAGGGAGTCTTTGGATCGTTTAACAAGGCCAGTAAATTAGTTCTAATAGAAATTAAAAACATAAATGTCATCTTCAGCTGTCAAAAGTCTGATTAACCGTGAGACTCGATGCCAATAGACTTTTTTTTTAGTTTTGGTTTTTTGTAGAGGTATATCAATTAACTCGTCGAGTACCGGTTTTGTAGACACAATTATAGAACAATAGGTTGCGGTCACCGGTGACCGCTTGGTGTTTGACAGTTTAATCATTATCGTTCGATATCAATAAGTTAATAACTAAACTGAAACTAAAATCTTTGAACGAAACCTCAATGTCAAAAATCGATTACAATTCAAAAATTTCGGACGTATATTTAAAAATTACATTAAAATATTTACACAGGTGCTGTAACCGTGGACTACCCAAGGCGCTTAAACTATGTAGACAGTTTAAGAACGCCTTAGAATGCCAATATGTAAGTACCTACTTCTGTATAGTGCAAATAATTATGTTGGTATTGCCAAAGTAGGTATTCAATATCCGCAATTTTTAGCATACTGTCTATGACTTGTCCCCATTTTTTTACAGAGTAAATAACACGTTATGTCTATATCATTGACATAACATAATATTACGGCCTCATCTTCAGATTCTTAGTTTGTTGTTCAATTTACGACATTATTAAATCAATAACTTAAAAATAAAAAGTATATTGTTTTTCTAAGAGTTTCCATGACATGTATTTTTATTACTTTTACATTTGAATAGTCTATTACATATTAATGTTGCATTAATGTTATTCTACTTAGTTGTGGATCGCATTTCTGCAAGGTTACGTAAATTTTCTATAAATAGGACAGCTTATAATAAGAGTTTAATTCACAATGTCGACTAAGATATTCTATTTTTGTGGCTGATAGTTTATTTTGTCTATACACAATATAAATTACGTAGGTATTAAATTCCGATTGCAAAACTGAAATTATCGATTCGTTACAGTTAGGGATTGCAATCTCTAACGACTAACTGTTTTCGTGTAAAGAAGTCTAGACAATACAACAGACGTACACTAAATAAGTAATAATTACATAAAACTCAAGGAGATAAGGAAAACCGGAAATACGTTAATGGATTGACATAAGACAATATTCGCGCGTTTATTTTTAAAATGGCGCTGGCTCTGCGCCAAATCCGCAGATCGGAGACTGAGACACGTCACAGACATCGACGTAAATGTTGCCAACTTAAATGCTCTCTTACACGTTCTTGTAATAAAATAGTTTGAAGTTGGAACATTTCGAATAACCGCCTACGCAACTGCCAACAGCCAGTGAAATTGTAAACTGACAAACTAGGTACCATACTGATTAGTCATCCCTCGGACAATAGAAAACTAATAACTACACATAAAACAGCAAATACAGTATAAAACATAGACACAAAAGAAAAACATTGATTCTCAGAATGTTTGCATTAAAAAAAACGAAACTACCTACTTAAGTACGAAGGTATTGGAAGTGTTAGGTCACGGTAAAGCGTCATTCTTACCTGTAAAGTTTCTCGGAAATGACTTCTCTGTTTTGGCCATGGTGCGCGCCTTTGGAATGACTGTAGGATCTGAAAAAAATAAAGGGTTAAATTTAAAGACGGTACCATGATAGACACTTTGGAATGACTGTAGGATCTGAAAAAAATAAAGGGTTAAATTTAAAGACGGTACCATGATAGACACTTTAATACAATTTTCTTGGACAACACAAAAACGTTTCGGTAGAAGAACATTTCATTCATTTTTTATTAAAGTGTCAAGTCAATATTGAATGCTTGAATTGCAAATATTCTATTAATAACTGCCACAGTAACCTCAATGCAAACATCGCTAAATTCCATTTGACAATTTATTTAGTTAGTCCATCATAACTGACAGGCCTGCGATTTAATTAGCAAACAGAATCATTTCCGCTACGTCTGTGAAGACGTTTTTAGCCAACGACATCTTTTATGGTTCAATCGGTCGTTTACACTTCATTGCAATCGACAAGTCGGCAAGTGAGGCGAGAAAGTTAAATAAACGATATCTAATTTGCAATAACATAGTATCAGGTTTTACTGTGCGGCATCGGCCGTTCAGTATTTACACACACGTTTTTTTAAACATTCAATACTCTTGGGTCAGTCGACACAATATGCGTTAATACTGCTAATGAACGGTTGACGTTGCAACTCGATGGAAAGTGTCGCACTACAAGAGAGATACCGGCCCCAGAATTGTCAATATACTGTAACAAGTTTTTACCATGACACATTGACACATATTATTAGCAAATAATTACGAATATTCTCTCTAATTGTTTTACAAACAAGTAAAATAATTATGCAAGACGAATTCGTTATATTTAGTTTCCGAGATTACATTTTAATTAAAAACCGACGTGGTAATAAAATCTAAATTAAATGACTACGAAACTTAATTAAAGATTCATGATGGCACATGGAAGGATATTCATCTTTATACACATTGCATGTTAAAGTTTCCTCTAGATAGTTATGTAAATTGCGAAGCCGGCGTCATTGAGTCACCAGTGGTAGACAACTGTAAGTTGTTAACCGGCTTTAAAGGAATTACAGAATTGACATGACATAAACGCAATACTTAGGGATACAAACGGTGTTTACTGTACAATATATAAAATTGATGGCCTGAAAGTCAAATAATATAATTTAAACATCAAATTGAACATGTTACATGTAATAAAATATACCGTTAAACTTTAAGTTAGCGACGATCGCCTGGCGCCGGCCTATAACGGAGAGTGCAGACGTCCTGTATGTCTGAGGCCTTAGTGCGAGTTTCTTTTTCATTCAAAGTAATCGTAACGAGTACGCGTTCAGCGCTGTGATTGGCCGGCTCCAATGAACCAACCAATCAGAGCACCGAACGCCGTCTCGTTTCGATTACTTTAACACCGAAAAAGAAACTCGTACTAAGCCCTCTGATTGGCGAAAAATCGAAGTTTAATTACCATTCCCTTGGCCAACTGACATATCATATTGATGACCAGCATACATGTTTTCTTTTTTTTCTTTGCAGGTTGAAATTACACGAGGAACAAAGATTGTTCAGGATTAACTCGACAAGGTTGTTGAACTGAATTTAGTTATGCAGTATAATAAACAAATTTCTAAGGGTTTGTGTTTTATTGCTGTTGGTTTCGTACTAACTAACTTTGTGAAAAAGCAATAAATTTATTTTAATTAATTTCTATGTAACATTGTCTCAAGTCAAGGGTTTTAAACTATAGATCCTTTTCCTGCTGTTCAGAGTAGAACTAGGTATTATACTTAAACTTAATTGATTGCTGCATGTAAAATTACGGAAGACCAATTCATTGATAATTTCCTACACTTTTTGCCAATTTTCATTATAGGCATCTATGTAGGTAATTTGGCAAGCTTAGTGTCATTAACCCGGCCGAAATAACCATATCATCGAACCAGAAAATTGTTTAGTGAAAGGTCATGGAACTTACCATGAAATCGTGGCTAGACTAATTTATCATGTCCCGTTTTTGCTACCCTGGAAGTTGAAACGTAATAACTAACGACTGAAACTAACGCGAAACTGATTCGCGCAAATCTATTTTGAAACGTTCAAGGTCGAGCCCATCGTGTTTATAAGATTATCATCTTACAATTTAAAATCGACTTAGTTTATACAACTCGATTAAACAATTAGCATTATCATGGACACGTGTTTAGATTAATTCGTGATTAGACCTATTTGTTTAGTACATTCATTTAAACTAAAAGGTTTATAGATGAAACAGACAAAATCCACCCTAAAGACGCAATAATATATTTTATCAATCGATCAGACAAATATCTTAAGAAGACCGCGACAGCTACCTAACGTGCATTTTTTTGCAAACCGCTTGTCTATTGTCAAAGCTCGGTCGCTAGAAAAAGTAAACAAATTGCTTCTTATCTATGGCAAACGACTTCCTCGTGTCCTTCCATTATGTTGTCTTTCCGCTCTTATATAGTTTGATTTAAGAACACGACATTGAAGGAACACTGTGCAGGTAATACAGCGTTTCGATTTAGATATTGACTAAGTACCTATGTACGCATGTGAAGGTCAAAAATCTGCGAGTATTATTTAGTTTTCTTAGTAAACTGCCATTTGCATAAATAAGTCACGATGTATTGCGTGCGGAAATAAAAGTAGCAGGTACTACCTACCGGTAAAGTGTAGCCATGTACTAGGTCTTAAAGTACCTATGTAGGTATAAGTAGGTATATAGCTATCTAAGCAAAAAATCTTATATAAAAAGATGCAAAAAGCATCTATGTCCAGATGGTTCTCTTTTATTGTTACACATATCCCGTAGGAACCAAATTAATTAGATACCTACACGTCCCAAGTCCATCAGTACCACAGAGTATGGCGTTATACGTCGATTCAGTTTTTTTACGTTTTCACCTACCTAATATTATAATTATAATATTAACTATATAGCATGTTTCGTAAAAAAAATAGCACGTGGTGGTAACAAAACCAGTCTGCAAATAGTAAAATAGTTTCTAACAATGCCTGAAATGAATGAATGAAAAAGGCTAAAATGCTAATCGGATGCAAATAATAAATTGTTAGGTACCTGTCGGCTGTCACTTACCCGTACCTATAGCTTCCTAGAATACATTAGAGTGGCAACATTACCTACAATATTATTCTTTAGTCTAGTAAGTTAGTAACAGATATTACAAAAGATAAACCACTGAATAGTTACTTTGCTATTGACAATTTCCTGAACTCTGCAGAAACATTAAAAAAACACCTTATGGATACCTGAATACGAGTTATTTGAATAATAATTTTCAAAAATATTCCATCCCCATTTTCGTCAGTACTAGGTAATTTGTAAACTAGAACTAGAACCCACAAATACGTTATAAGTAATTAATTAATTACCATCAATGTTTTAGTTAGGAGCGTTTATGCTACTCCGGGTATAATTATATTAAAGGTTTAATTGAAAAAATAATTGGTAACGTTACATCTTTAAAATAATTTTTGACACGATTTGACACTGGCATGTGTTTGCAATTTTTGCAAAACTGTATCGCAAAAACATCACAGGGCTCCCGCAAGATACCTACTTTGAAACTAGGTAGGATATATATGTATTTCGTTGCGAATTCAATTTCCAATTGTAAAATAAAATAGATTTAGGTTCATTCAAATAACGTTTGAATTAAATTAAATGGATTTTAAATAAAAGAATGTCACTTCATTTTGTCGACCAAGTGCCTTAACAATATTGTAACCTTTTGAGACACGTTAAATTAGATTCGCTAAATTATTTCAATCATATTTGCAACAAATTCACACCTTTCGAATATTTTGACAAGTAAAATATCACTAACCTGACAGTGAAACGAACAATATTTTTAAAGCGCATTGTAAGGTTATGCTGATGGGAACGCGGCGAAATAGGGTTGATATCGATTAATTTACCATCACCAACAGAATTAAAAAAATAGTGAATAGTTTAAATTTAAAATCACGGGTACGTGCTTACTTACTATCCTTGTAATATTTTTAATGAACTATGTTTTGACATATTTTGAAAACGTGTCCAAGTTAAATAAAATTAATGTTGTAACAATATGCCGCTTCGATGTCGAGTTGTTGGGCCGCTTGGCTAGCGAACAGCTGTTCGTCTCAGAAGGATACAACGGCTATTTTGTATTCTTCGCTTCAACGAATTACAGTAAAAGTTTTATTTAGAGAGTAGGGTGGACAGTTACATAAAAGAAATTAACAATTTGATACTCACCGTCTTATTTTTAAACACTATAATAAATAGAGAATAAACACACTTTACGTAAAATGAACACACTTATTTTAGAATACACTACGTCCTTAAATAATTTTAAATACAGGTAAGACTATTTTAATTTATAAATACCAGGTTTAAATTAACTATGACACGAATATAAGAGTCGAGGAGGACGCACACCCAACACCGGCAAGCGCAGAAACCCGACTGACGCGACCTCACGCGGTTAGCGCTCAAAATACATAATGTTATGGAACGTTCCGTTTCATAATGCTTTCATTCATTCACTGCTATAATATTATTAATTCTTGATTTATTTCCCTATTTTGTAATCAAAACTATTAAATGTAGTAATATGAGTTATTAATTACATAACTTGGAATCTTTCGACTATAACTACGAGTACTCGTATTAAATAATGTCTAAACAAATGTACTTACGTCTGTTAGTGTTATCTCTAAGATGAAACCTCATTATTTGAAATCAAAATAAATGTAAATAAATAAACTTGTGGCAAAAAGACAGCCCGTAAATAAATATAAGAAAATTACAAATTGCAATACCTGTCTGGGTTGTTTTACTACGGGCAAAAATAAAATTAGCGGAGAAATTATCGAGTTGGCGCCGTCTTGACGCCAGTGTGCGGCGGCGGGAGGAATTCTTATTGGTTGTTTCAAGACGGGCCTCCGCGTTGTAGACGATGTATGGTAAAGTTTAGTGCGCGTATAAACTTCATTAATTATAATGATCATGAATTTTTTTTATAAAATATTTTGTTTAGTTTTTCTTGTAAAAGTTCGCACCTTTACTATAATAGTCATAGCCTAGGTATTTATGATAGAAAAAGTAATAGACAATACATAAAAATATGGAGGGTAATTCACTAGCACCTTGGTATTGTTCCACCCTCATTTTTAGTGTATTTACCCAGTTTCCCCTAGGTTCTCTTCAAGCAGTACGTGATCCGGTACCACACTGCCGCGCCGTTAATATTTTAAAAGTTTGCAATAATTATGTTAATTAGACAATTCATTTTATTAATTCATTAATTTATATATTTATATTCTAATTGACTGCAAAAATACCTTTTAATAAATATCTGTTGCACAATTGTATAACTATGGCTACAACCAACTTTTTAACGGTGAAAACGCATTTATCGGAATTCAAACATTCAGACAAAGATACGTTGAGTGAAGTAAGTTTTTAAAATTTTATAAAACTTGATAATGATTTCATACTTTCATAATAATATCATGTAATAACTTCTCCGCCATCTTGAAGATCCAAATGTATGCCATGCCCTTAGATATTACAATTTTGCCGAAACGACATTATTAGGATACCTACATCAAATCAAGCTGCCCTAAGCATTCTCACTGACTGATTGAATAATTATAATTTACTATTTTTGTCTTTCAACCCCTTCGCAAATAACCGTTATAGGCTTCCGAAAGTGGAACGAGTAATTCTGTGACGTCAGCAGAAGACCTACAGAAATTAGCCGTGATTCTTGGGCTAAACAGTGCTGAAGATGTGTACCAGGAAAGATTCCGTGTTGACCGACGTCGTCTGGAAGCAATGCTTGCTGGTAAGTTAGAAGGTAATATAGAAAAAAAAGGAAGTTAGAAAACAATTTTTATAACACATTCAACTTTTACAGATAATTTGGATGAATCACAAACGGCACAAGCATTTTTCCACCGGGTAAGACAAATATCTTTGTCAAGCCTATTTTTACATTTACAAAAGTTAGGTCCCTTAATTAAATTAAAAAATATTATTTATTTTTCAGGTTATGACTGAAACGAATACTTTAATAAATTGGCCGGCTCGTCTCAAAATCGGTGCACGTTCAAAAAAAGGTATTATAATTTTTTTTAAAAACATAAATTTCCGAAAACTGAACGCATACTTTTTTAAAATTTAAAGTCAAACGGAACACACCTGTACCATTTCTTGTAATTTTGGCGGGCTGGCGCCAAATAGACTAGCAAACCGGCGCCAGTCCGGCGCTCTTTCAAAAAATATTTTAAAATGCAGTCGCGTGCGCGTCCGTTACATGAAATTACATATTTAACATTCAATTAATTGTTTATATTTTATTTAATGAAGTAACAATGAGTTTTGACGAATGTAGTGACGATTTAGTGTATAATGTTATTAGAAAATTACGTGAAAATAAATTTATTGATCTTTTTGAAATTGGTAGGTGAGGATAACTTTACATTGAAATGTTTGGTGATGTTTGAAGTTTTTATTAATTTTATTATGTGAGTGTTATATTTTGTTTAGATCCCCATGTGAGAGTAGCTGGCCGGCCTAATGATGTGAAGCTGGCTCGAGAGAAAATAATTCAGTTATTGGACACTAGGGTATGTCAAGCTTTTTATATTTAATCAGTAAGATTTTTTGTTATAAATAATTATTATGATAAAATTGCTAATCAACATTTAGTATGTATGCATTTTTCTTATAACGTGTTTGTATACATGATGCGCGTATCGTGGCTATTATTTTAGTAACAGTTGTGTTTCTCGAAGAACAGTAACTGGTGAAGTAGACGAGTATTCTATGAACACTGTGTGTAGGCAAACGTAGGCTGTGCAGGACGTCTTCCAGAGACCTAAGTGGAGAAACGATATCTGCATAGTCACCAGGTGGCTGGCAGTAGTCTGATTGGATGGGAAGAGCTGACGTTCGAGCTCAGTGGCGTTTGGAAAGGCTTAAGTATGTTCAGCAGTGGACTAAAAACGAGCTGATGATAATTTATAGTGATGGTGATTATTTCTCGCTTCGACTTAGTGATTGTTTTTATTTACATATCACGACCGAGTTTTTAAAAATCACGCAGCTAAGAAGTAAAGTACTTACGATAAACCAATCAGCATTTCGGTCGTTACCTAATTTGGAAGCTTATATTTTTTGTTAGAATAAAATCTAATTGTGAATTCGTTTGCAGAATAACCGGGTTACAATGAAGATCGATGTCAGCTACACAGACCATTCGCATATCATCGGAAAGGTGAGTTCTTTTTGAAAATTGCTCTTTGTAGACATAACATGCTAACGCCTAATTAATTCGTGTAGGGGTAGGCAGAGTTGCACATATAATATAATAATCTAATAATAATCTTTATTAGACATTCCAGTATTTGCAATAAAAATGTACAATGACAGTCGCACTAGGCAAAGCCTGTATCGCTGCTATCAACAATACGATTTCCTTAGGACTAATGTGATCAAACTATGTATCGCCTATAAGCGGGTGGGCTTACTACATAAATTACTTACCTAAAGAATGTTCCAAAAAGACTCAATAATATTTTGTCCTACCCGAAATCGAATCCGACACCTCTTGCTCGGCCATCGCACAATTGCGACCACTTAGCTCCAGTAGGTGATCAGTACTTATTACAATTAATTGTACCTACATGCAGGTGAGTGTAAAATTGAATATGAATGTCTCCAATTTTTTTTTCGTTTCTAAGCTCTAAAGAAGACTGAAGCAATGACTGCACGGTTGACGCGGTGGCTGGGCAACCGGCTGCCGCGCAACGTGTCGCGGGTTCGATTCCCGCACGGAACAAATCTTTGTGTGATCCACAGATTGTTGTTCCGGGTCTGGGTGTCATGTGTATGTGAACTTGTATGTTTGTAAACGCATCCACGACACAGGAGAAAATCTTATAGTGGGGGAACGTTTATAAAAACAGCAAGGTATAAGCACTTGTCTGATTTGATCTACCTATCTAAATCTGTAAAATTACTCATTCACGATCTGTAATTGTTGTGTTTTGATCTTCTAATGACGCATCCGTTGCGCTCATTTAGATATTTTGACCTCAATTTAATTTTTTGCATCTAATAAACATGATTGAGTTCATTCATATCAATACCTAAATATTTAGTAACAATACCTACTCACTAATGTATACGTAAACGTCATATTCCGCCTGTATTTCCCCCAAAGCATAGACTATACAATATACATATACTGAGACCCCAAAGGATAATGGACAGAGGTGAACCTTTTTTTAAAAGTATTGTTAAAGTTCCTACTCACCTATATAATAACTATTTATAAGGATGTATACTCCGAACTGAAAGCTAAAATTACTGAACTTATGCCATTCGCATGGGGCAACATAGTCGATTGTCCTGACGAAGTATATCATACTCTCTTTGTCGTTGCTCGACTATGTCATAGTCTCTTTGTCCTGGGATGCGCGAGCGAAGCCGCTGGTAGAAGTAAGTCTCTTCTTTGTGATAGAAATATGATCCCTATGTGTTTTTCCACAATGTTTTTATCAGGCGTTCATTTTATTTATGAGATCAAATCAATTGAACTGCGTAATTACTATTATTGTAATCAAGGCGCATGACAAGTCGATCTCATCACGTTTTTCTCGCCATGTGAACTTTTTGTGCTTTTGTAAAATTATACTACCTACCTATTAAAATCAATCGTAGTAATTTGGATGTGGCTAAAGGTACTACGCAGTTGAGAATCTTATTTAAGTAGTCGTTTTGTTAAGATACCTACATTTTAAAAGGTAATTATTTAAAAACTGATGACTGTTGATGAAGGCAAAGCGGTAGGTATGTAAGAATCATTGCAATGAGCGTTGCATAGTCTCTCTCTGCCTACCCCCATGGGAGACAGGCGTAAGATTATGTATGTAAAGTATTTATTCTTTTAAAAATAAGTCATAATTAGTCTGTGACAGAATGTTGCATTTACGCCAAATTTACATAACATCACGCCTTTTTATCCCCGAAGGGGTAGGCAGAGGTGCACATTTCGGCGTTTACGTCCAGTTTCAATAACCTATCTATCTGTAGATTTGCTTAATACAGATATAATTTTGACATTTATAAGCTCCATACAAAATGTGTGACGTTAATGCCACTGTACCTACAATGTAACACCCACTTTTCACTATTTATGTTATGAGTCCCATGTAATAGGGGTTGAGCCTATTGCCATATATCGGGCACATTTCCCGACTCCGTGCTACTACTGAGATTTTTAAAAACCCAGTAATACTTTGCCCGACCCCGGAATCGAACCCGAGACCCCTTGCCCGTCAGTCACCACTCGACCAACGAGGCAGTCAAATCGAGGCAGTCCCGCCAAATTTACAATTTGAAGAATAGTATGTAGCGTTTAAAAATCAAAACATACATTTTATTTAAATTACAAGTAATAGACTTCAACTTAAAATTGCAAGCCACGATAAAATCGTGATTCAATAAGTCCATTAGGCTAATCAATAGGCGACGCGCCGTTGACTAAATTACATCCAACAACACGGTCCAACACTAATCGTACTAGAATAAATTACTATTTAGTATCAACACGCCAACTAAATGCTCTCTGAGTGCTCAAATATGTCACTGACAGAGAAACTGGTTGTAGACTGCCTAGCTTAGTCTGGAACCTATTTATTTTACGACTATAATCATTAAGGATCAATTTAGAGTGAGATTTCTTGGTGCATTGACCAATAGAAACTTATTTTATTAAGATACCGTACCTAAGTATTTCAGCTACTTTAATGCAAAGGTTCATAAGCTGATATTTTGTACGAAGGAAAATCTTATGGTAAGTGCCTACTTACATACGAGTAGGTATTACAGGACTTTTGCCGGTAGTGGTGAAGGATACGCGTGTGCTTTTATCACTTCTAACAACTACCATAAAGTTATTTATTTATCAATTCATGTAAACTATACAGCAAACAGTATTACAAAGGACAACACATTAAAAGCATTAGGTACATAGGTACTGCACATAACTTAAGGGATTTCTACCTACAGACCTGCGACCAGCGACAGTTCATGTTCGACAACTATCACCACTCGACACTTTTTGCACGGTTGCCATTCAAGTAACAAAAAAAAAAACATTTTTAATCCAAGTTTAAAAAAAAAACTGACTTCAACCCCCTTTTAATCCAAGTTTAAAAAAAAACTGACTTCAACCCCTTTTTTTGAAGTCTGTTTAATATACTAAAACCTTCTCCTCAGTGTAACAAACACTTTTTAAATTTCATCAAAATCTGTTCAGCCAATCGCGAGATAATTGCGCACAAACATACGTACATGCAGGTCAAACTGTCATAATTTTTTATTTGACGTCGGGTAAAACGTACTTAGGTATTCAATTCCTGTGTTCATATCTAAGTAATTTCTTCTCGGCATTTGGATTAAGCATGAGAAATGGATGTAGGTCGTTCGCAGGACAGATTTTCTTAACGAATCCCCTTCATTACTCGAATAAGTGAGATGCCAAAATAGACAATCACATTACTTATTATGTAATTGTGAACATTTTAGTGTTTACTAACTTTTCAGAATGTTTAATACTTCGTCACACTAGTTGATACTTCTTTCTTTGTTGTTTCAATCAATTTGGACGTTTCACACGATGTTTTCCTACGCATTTCCTGTTTATTCTTTCATAGTCGTAAATGTCGTAATAGATCTAGGTGTCCTAATTCTCCGACATACGTGACACAATATGACGTCAACACGTAGTTAAAATTTAAATACAAACACGAAAACAAAGTGACAATCATGAAAACAAAATCGTTTTACATTTCTTTAGCAGATAATGACCGAAGTTTATTATCATCTTTAGTACCTAGGCCTTAGTACGAGTTTGATTTACGTTTAAAGTATTCGAAACGAGTACGCGTCCGGCACTCTGATTGGCCGGCACCAATGAACCAACCAATCACAGCGCCGAACGCGTACTCGTTACAATTAAACGTAAAACAAAACGTACTAAGGCCTCCTTTGTAGAGTTGCATTCGAAAACATAAACAAGTAATAATAATAAAAGAAAACATCGAACAAATTACTGCTATACACAATTACATACGTCATCTTGCCTTGATTTGTTATGGTAAATACGGGTGGGATCCCAGTAATAATTATGTGCCTTTTATCTTTGAAACACGTCCGCTAATTATCTACATTCAAGTATGTATTTCATAAGTCATAAACAACAGGTACCTAGGTACAAAAATAGCAGTGACATTGCACCTACATTGAAATGGAATAAAACTGGTTTTATTGAATTTTTCATTACTTTTCCTTTTATTGTTAGGGTTATAAACCATTTGTTGCATTAGTCTCATGGACTGAAATTAATGGAAAACTTCATACAACTGATAGAAATTATAGGATTAGGTGATACCATAACACTTAATACAAGCATATTGAGCTACTCTTATCGGCCGATACTGACTCTTCTCTTAAGACCATACCTAACGAGCCTAAATTAGCCAAGTTACTTTGAATATTTCTCATTTTATCACCATTTAAGCACCAAAGCTGATAGTTGTTCACTGCCGACTATTAAGATATAGAGCATGGCCTTTAGTGCCATTACTCAAATATAGAGTCAATTGTTGCAATAATAATAAAATTATGATACATATAAAGTGGTTATCACATTTCCACATTATTTTCCTAACAGGGTGGACTTACAATCAAGCGCGTGATGGAGGAGACGGGCTGCCATATTCACTTCCCGGACTCGAACCGCACCAGCACAGTGGAGAAGAGTAACCAGGTCTCCATTGCTGGAGACATGGAACGCGTCGAGAGGGCGAGAGCACGAGTTCGAGTAAGTAGAATACAAATACTGTATAAATATATATAATACCTTCTTTCTGGTCGACTTTAGTTACTCGATTAGATGGTCAGATGTAACACTGAGAACAGAATGACGAAATATTAGAAATACTTGGGTTGGATATCAGTATTTGAAGCGACTGTAATCGAATCGAGGATTCTCTATTGAATGTAGAAGATAATTGTAATGGAATATCTTTGTTTGGGATTATATAGTCAGGCTTTCGGACTTATTTGGTATTTAAAATTCATCAAAACGAACCATTAACTTGTAATTATGTAACGTAGAAGTCTCCGCTATACGACCTAGACCACTAAAACCATTATTTATGCGGAGCGCCTGTAGAAATTGTGATATATTCCGTCTAGACGCATTTAGACTACTTTGCCATGGCTTTTCTCAACTGATAATAACATTTTATCACGTTATGGTCGTTTGTGGATAATATTTGGCGCATATGCCAGACAATATGCAAGTATTTTAAAATTTGTATGGTATGTAAAGGCAAAACCTTACCTTTATCGCCTCTTAACGTGTCCTCTCTAACGTAATTAGTGACGACTTGGCAAGTAGATACCTTACTGATTTTTGTGTTGCCCTAAATTAGTCCCTACTCGTCAATGACTAAATTACTGCGATATAAATGTCATTAGTATCAGAAAAATTATGATACCATTGATTGGACTCTTGCGACTCTGACTTGTGCAGGCAAACATATTGAGTGACTCCTACCACTCGCAAGTGCCTTAAAATTAAAAAATTAAAAATTTAAATAAAGTCTACTTTCAGTGATGTTTATGTAGGTGCCTACTTAAATGTATGTTTCTACTACTCTCTACCAGGCCCTGACTCCACTGGTATTTTGCTTCGAGCTACCAATAGTGCCAAGCTCGCAGCCGCTACCCGACATCACCTCGCCCTACGTGCAGAACATACAGGACCAGTATAATGTACAGGTGAGATATAACTAATTTTAAAATACAATATTTAATTTCCACTATCATCATCAACAGCCTATAAGTGGCTACTGCTGACCAAAGACTTCTTCCCACACGGAGAAGGTTTGAGCATTAATCACCACGCTTGCTCAATGAGGGTTGGCGATTTCAAACTTATAATTAGAAATTATAAGCCCAGGTTTCCTCACGCTGTTTTCTTTCACTGTTAAGTTAACATAATGGTTCCTCGTGTAGGTAATGCTGCGTAACCGCCCGAAGCTGCACGCTAATCTGCTGGTGGTGAAGGGGGTGCAGTGGGAGGTGCAAGCCACCATGGAGGCGACCAATCTGCTCATGAACTACATGTGCGGACCGTTGGCAGTGAGTGAATTTCATACTAATATTATAAGCTTATTGAAATATCGGTCATTATGTGTAATGTGTGTTCATGTGTTTCTCTTGGATAATAACGTATCGCTTTTTTATAACTTTACTAGCTGACCCGGCAAACTTCGTACCGCCTAAAAGTTTTTTCTCACCTTTTAAACTTTTAAACGTTCCCTAGACTTCCACGAACCTATCAAGACCAAAATTAGCCAAATCAGTTCACCCGTTCTCGAGTTTTAGCGAGACTAACGAACAGAAATTCATTTTTATTTATATAGATTTTCATTCCCTCGGATGACATGACCTACGCTTTATTTATACAATACAAACTTTCGTGAGACATAAAATGAATTGTTACGTTTTCGGCTTACTCACGTAATGTTTGACAAGGAACTCGACTAGAATATGAAGCCTCTAGCATGGTTTGAAACTAGTCGAGTTCCTCGTCAAACATTACGTGTAAGCGGAAGACATAATAATTAACCTACGAATTATAATAATAATAATATATTCTTTATTGTACACCACATAAACACATTTGTTTAATTAGTTAGTATTTTTTTTGTAAGTTCATAGCGGTCCCTATAACTTATGAAAGAGCATTGAATCACGTTTCTGTTATTGAACTTTCATCTTTTTTATTAAAAAGTTATTCTAAACTTAAGCACTATTTAGTAAAATAATGTGCGTTGTCTAAGTCTAAGAGTCATTTTAAAATCGTGTCTAAAACATCAAGTGAAACAAGTGAATTTATTTGTGCAATTAGGCTACAAGGCAGCACTTTTACATGTTAATTTTTATCAAGCGAACGATGAGGTCGACATTTCCTAACTGACTACTCTGAGAAGAAATGCGGAAACAAACTCGGAGGCCACTATCCAAAATCCCTTTCAAAAATCCTATTTCAGAGTCAAACCCAAGTGCAGATGTCGTTGGAAATATCCCCGATGCACCACGGAGTGGTTGTGGGTAGGGGTGCGGAACAGCTGAAGGTGATCATGAAAGGCACTAACACGCAGATCATGTTCCCTGACGCTGACGACCCTAACATACCGGTGATTAAGAAGAGCTGCGTCACTATCACTGGGAATATCAAGGATGTTTATGCTGCTAGGCAGCAGTTAGTCGTAAGTAACTTTTTTTTCTGAAGTACTTTGAATTCGAGTCTTTAGAGTAGAGTATAAGTAAGTACAAGCTTCATAGGTACTTAGGATCTTTTGCTTAATTCTAGATCATGGTGGCATTATGGAAATATAAGGTTTCGTTGTCAACGATGTACCTATCTCGACGCTTTGTTAGGTAATTCGTAAGGTTATAGTTAAAAATAATTTAAATGTTTGGGGGTAGTGAGTTAAAATGTCTAAAGTTGAAAACACAACTCAAGCATCGTTTCACGTCGGTTTTCTTTGAGACCGTGTTATCATTACGATCGAGGCGGTTCGATCTTTAAAAACTTATTTCATATTAACAGGGTAGTCTTCCATTGGTGGTGATATTCGACGTGTCAGACGAGGCGTGTCGCATTGAGAGCGAGCTAGCGAACAAACTGATGCACAAGTACAACGTCTACATCAACATACGACGCAAGCCCAAGCAGGGGATTACATCCGTCGTTGTTAAAGGCATCGAGCGCTGTGCTGGTGAGAGCTTTCACTCATATTTTAGCTATAGATATGGCTGAACTGCCTCGTTGACCGAGTGGTCGCAAGCGCGACTGCTGGGTAAGGGGTCTCGGATTCGATTCCCGGTTCGGGCAAAATATTAGTGGGTTTTTAAATTCTCAGAAAATTCTCAGTAGTACGAAGTCTGGGATTGTGCCCGGTATATGGCAATAGCGAGCTACGATATGAGCTCATAGCATAAATAGTGAAAAATGAGTGTGACATTGTACAGTGCAATAAGTGCCGTGATGTGCACCTCTGCCTACCCATTCGGGGATATAAGGCGTGATGTTATGATGATGATAATGATGATATAGGCCTCTAAAAATATAAAATAAATCTGAATATATGTATAAAATAATTGGTGTTACAGTTATGTAGGTAAGTTTACCTACCCACCAATTTTTGTTTGTGTTAACAACGGGTACACAACACATGTGGATAAAAGGTGAAGTAGAGGTCAGACAAAGCTTTGCAGCACCAGATATTCACCTGAGAAAATGATTGTGAATTGATATAATATTTCAGTGAGTGGATAATCACGTATAGAATCTCTAGGAGCTTGTTTTTTTAAGCCACCTTGAACTTTGACTTATTATTGTTTTATTTTCTCTCATCATTATTAAGTAGATACCTACCTACCTACACCTAAATACATCTATTTGTATATGTCCAGGTGACATCTACGAAGCTCGCCGCGAGCTCCTCGGTGACAAAGAGCCAGTCATCACCGCAGAGATACCAGAGTCTTACAATATTCCCTCTATATCCGCCAACAACTTGCCCAACTTTGGCGTGTTCAACCCGTTCTCGCCAACACATGGGGCCAACATGGCCAACTCTCCTTGTTCACCTTTCAACCTACCACTCTCGGAATTGGCAAACTTTGCCGGTTTGTCGCCAATGTTTGGTCACAACCCGCCAACGCCTGGCGGGTATCCTAGCCCGTTGTCTCCGGTAGCATTGACTCCCCCAGTATACCCCAACTCCTGGATGGTGCCTTCTCCTCAGCCCAGAAGCGGACAGTTCCACTATCCCAATTTGATGCCTAATCCGAATGGCGTTATGTACAAGAACCAGGGTGGTTCATGGAACCGTGAGTGTTACCTATAATTTAAAACAAAAATGGTTAAAATTGGGTTGTATTTACTTGAATATAAATAAGGAACTATGTAAATACGTAACTTCAATTACAGCAATGACGAACGGAGCCGACATCGTAGGCCTTCCTCAACAGATGATGATGCAGACGCCTTACCAGCAAATGCCAGCTGATAACAGACCTGTAAGTAGAAGAATACAACATTACAACTTGTTTAATACCTTCTTAAAGTTCATCATGATTTGTTAGTGATAAGACATGGTCAGCAACAATAGTCGTGAGTCTCCTCCCCAAAGGTAGAGAAACTATGCAAAAATACACCTTCAATCCCGAATATTTCTTTGTGTACAGACAACCCTGAGCCAGATCTTGAACTCGAGCTCGCAGGCGAGCAGCGGATACCAGAGCAACTTCACAGGCAGCTCCGTGTCGCTTGATACTCAGAATATTTCTGGTAAACCTCGCAATCTTACTTTATCACGTCATACTTAACAACAACCACTAATTATGTAACTTAGCAATATTTCACTTATTTTTCAAGCTTCAAGCTTCTTTGTGCGTACTGCTAAGGAATGAAATTGTTTGCCAGTCTGTATTTCCTGAAGGATATAACCTGGGAGTCTTCAAGGCCTGAGTGAATAGGTTTCTAATGGGACGACATGCTCTATTGTAGGCAGCATAATCGCTTACGAGATAGTTGTCAAAAAGGCAGAGCAACAGAAAAAAAACAGCATTAGTGGTTGCTGTTTTTTTTCTGTTGCTCTCTCTTCTCTGTAGCAAATCAGAGTTTATGGTCACAATTAAGTACCGTATGAAGTTCTTTCTTAACATTTTTGAAGTTCATTATTATGTTACATTTATTACTAATTAAAATTAGTAACTCTCATTTGCAATAATAGTCTAATTAAGTATGAACCATGTGTGATGTGTCTAGTCTTCTAGTCTAGACGTCACCATGGTGTGTGTATCCTTATATATATTTGTTCTGGTGTAGGTGGCGGTGACGGCAGTAACGTGGTGTCTCCGTCGGTGTCCCCCATCAGTAAGGGACACAGCAGCCACAGCCCCGCGCCCTCCACCGATGCGGAACGCTCACAACAGGGTACCTAACTTTAATACCTATATACCTACATAATAATATGCTTGAAATTATTGATTCGCTGAGTTATTATATTCTATTAACTGGTTACAAAGTGACTAAAAACCTTTAGACTATACTGTTCCATGATATAACAGGCTATCAACTAATTAAAATACTCCCATTTCCTAGAATTAGCGAATATAATATCAGATCTGCCAATATCTGACCGGCGTGCTGTAGGCTGTGAGAAAAAGACGTTGGAGGCACTGAACAAGCTGTCCCCACTCACTGAGTATCGAAAGATGAAGGCTGAAGCTAGTAAGGTGAGATACTCTCTTTTACACACATATCACATCAACAGCCTATAAGTCAACTTCTCACACGGAGAAGGAAGGGGCTCAAGGAACTCAAGGAGCTTAACTTCAGCTCTAAAAGTAATGACACAAACTGATAGGTCATTCTGATACACGTTAGTGGACAGAAAACTATCGAAGCGAAGAAGATTTAAGGCGCTAGTCATAAAGATGTAGTTGACACGAAGTATATCCACTTATTATTATGCACTTTCTCAAAGTAACACCCATTATTGCATAAGAAAAGACAAGGCCTTCCATACTAATTTGTCGTAACATTTGGCACGGTATTAGGGAAAGGGTCAACCCCAAAATTTTATGAGTGCAACATTTACCTTGCCAATACGGAATGCATGCCATCAACCAACGCCCAATGGTGCTAAGGTCGAAACTGCATTTACCTTAACATATGCATTATGCATTTTAGGCCCTATCAGGTAGCTGTCAATATCAAGGCTTTTGAGTGAGCTGAATTTAAAATTTCTTGTGATAATGGGAATACGTAATATAGCGTGGACTCGTAGGTTATGGATTTTTTTTTAACTTTGCCCCACACTAAGATTTTCTCCCGTATCGTGGGTGCGTTTACCAACATACAAGTTCACATACAAGTTCACATACACATGACACCAAAACCCGAAACAACAATCTGTGGATCACACAAAGATTTTTTCCGCGCGGGAATCGAACACGCGACACGTTGCGCGGCAGCCAGTTCCCCGACCACCGCACTAACCGTGCAGTCAATTTAATGACACAAGAGCCATTTGTTGCTGATGTATGATTAAATCTGTAGCAGATATGTAGGACTTGTTGCATACTGTCTCTTAATCTACCAACATTATTGTATCAACAGGCGATGCGTGAAAACGTAGGCAGCGGGTACCGTGTACCCAACCAGCGCTGGTCCGGCTACTACTTCAGCCACACCTCGCCGGGTCCTATCAACCTGACCGATGTCAATAACAACGAAGTTGTTACTGTAAGTAATTTTTTTTAAACGTATACTTCAGTTTGTTGCCGTCCCTTTCTCGTAGTCTGTTCTTTCTTTCCTTCTTGTATAAGAAACATCACTCAGTCACTTCAAATTTGGTGATTTGTAATGTAATAAGTAATTTTAAACTTTTCAAGAAAATATATTTTCTAGTAAATTAGTTAAGGATGCTTCTACACTGCTATGCTGCTAAAATGTTAATAAAGAACCCTAAAGAACATGACATCAGTTGGACTTCCTAAGAGAAGACAGGCGAAGCACAGCCAAAATGGGTGCTCATAAAAACCATTTTTTTGCAGTGTTGCGATAAGAGAGGGTTTTCCAGGAACGGAATTTTCTTAGTTGCAAAGCATGTTCTATCTTACTTAGCTTAAATTTTGACTTCTTTAGCCGGAGAAGGGCTGGAACCGTCCGGAGCTGGTGCGTCCCAACATAGTGGAGCAGACAGTGGTCACCCCGCCGCAGCCGGCCGCGCAGACTCCGCCGGCCGCGCCCTGTCGCTACCAGCAACTCAGCGCGTTACTACGGGACGTCGGCCTGCACAAGTACATTGGTGAGTAACCAGGACTAGGTACTTTATGTATCGTAGTACCTATGGACTTAAAACCTTTCTTGCCTAACAAAAAAGTAAATTCTTGGAGTTCGTCGCCATCATATATTATTATTGTCTTCTATCACACGTCGTCACGACATCACAAACTCTGTTTTCTTTTGAAATCTTTCCTCATACAGTCTACCCGTTTATTTATTTGGTCGACAAACTCGCAAGAGTGTAATTGGTTCATTATCTCGAACCACTAGATCACTAGATTATTATTTCACCTTACTAAATTTACTTAATTAAGTACCTACCTGTAAAATATTTTCATGTTCCTATCCAGACTTGTTCAAGAAGCACGAGTTAGACATGTCTACGTTCACGTCGCTGAACGAGGCGGACCTCGTCGAGATCGGTGTCACCGCCTTCGGAGCTCGTAGGAAGATGCTGCTATTGATAGCAGGTAACTAGATAATTTCAATTTTTGCGGAAACGGTTTGCCTACAGTAGAATCAGGAGCATTTACAAAGTTAGCTACAATAAAAAACGTGTTATATTATGTTGTGATTTTTACAGATCTCAAAGCCAATAAAGGCAACTACCAAGGCTCTGCTGGCAGTGAGCGCAAGATGGTGGGATCACCGTCTCAGTTCGCGACCCTAACTCAAGACAAGTGGTAACCAACCACTATAATACAAGCTACGTATAATGGCAATATTTCAGAAGGCATAACTATAAAATCGCATGTCTTTTATTAATTAAAAAGTAATGGATTAATTAAGCAAATGGAGAGCAGTTATTTTTATTTGTTTTTGATGTTTTTTAAGCTATTGCTGTCTGCTCAGTGAATGTAATAAGTATGAGATAAGCAAAACTTAATTATTAATTAATTAATTAAATGTGCCAAGTATACGTAGCTTCCAGACTGAAGAGTTTAACTCGTAAGACTGATTTCATGGGTACAAATTAGAAATAAGATTTCTTCGGTCGATCCCTCAAAGAGGCTGGTATCAAGAGGACCTCAGTGCAATTCCTTAAGGTAGACTCTAATCTAATCTAAGACTGGATGCATTTACTATTCTCGTAAGTTTTTATATGATATTAGAACTACCTTTGTTCTACAACTGATTGCAATGAGCTTGTTACGAATTTACAATATCTCGTTGATTTTTTGAGATTTTAACATTTAAGTTATTGTTTATTAAGTTTTTTATGATATGGCTAAAAGCATAGACGATTTGATCTCTACTCAGACAATTGTTGAAGTAAACGGGCCAAGCGCCGTAGAATTAGATATAAGTTTATAGAATTTTTTAAATCGTAGTTTTAAGGAGAGCATGTTTTATTTTTTAACCCTTCATTTTAGGTTTAAGTACCAGTATATCAGACAATTGATTTATCAGATTTATCAGATTCGGCTTTTAATGTTTGATTCATTAATGAGTGCAATGGAAAATGTTCGCAATTGTATGCGTGCCTTCTAATTCCATATTTTGTGAAATATGATTTTCAAGGACGCTGATAGGGTCACAATTGAGAAATCACACTTCTAATTACTTTATTTTTGTTTCTACAGACCGCTATTATACCAGTGAGACTGGTTTATCGAAGTGACATTTTTCAGTTTAGATACAAGAATCGTTTTAATCATTTTCCGCACAATCGGCAAAAATACAATTTGGACAGCTAAAATTGACTTGATTTTATATACGACTAATTTCTAAACCATTCAGCGATATGAAGGTGACTATCTTAGTAAGTATTGTGTATCAATGAGCGTCACCCAGCTGCATTTTAATCAGTTAACATTTTAATAAATTCAATCATTATGTGTTTGTGATTATGAATTTGAGTTTTTTTACTGCATTTTTGATTTTAACCATATTAACATGTTAATTTAATGTGAATGCTTTTGTTTTAGTTTATAATTTTACACAGTACAGTAACATTGTGATACATAACCATTGCGAACATCTTTTTTATTCTTTTCTGATACTTTACCAAGGAGTTATGTATCATTATGTCTACTTTATAATACTTTTAAGATCGTTAGTTTAATGTTTTAATCATGAACTTGTGATTACGATATATCTGTTTTAAAGTATGATTATGAGATGTTAGTCGACTTTTTTTAGATTATGGAATATTAATTAATTTGATAAGTATGTATTAAATTTTAAGAGCTAGTTTTTTAAGATCGGTGTCAGGTTGTTTATACGGTTTTGTTTTTGTTTTTAAAATTCCTGAAGAGGTAGGAATTTTTTCTCCATTATTTTAAGTTTTGCTTGTCTGATTAAAGTTTGAAAGTAAACTTTGATTTTTTATTAAAACTCTGCATGCGAAACTGTCTTTTAATTTAATTTTATGTAACAATAAAGTATCATCCAACCAATTTGAACCACTCACCATAGTCACCATCTACATTAGAAGCTAGCTAGCTTCGTAAAAGCATACATATTTTGACAACGACGACCTTCGGTCGAATATTTTGACATATCAATCTGTCAACGAAGGTCGAGCGTGCAACTGTGTCGATAATAAATTGTACAATTGCATCATAAAATAATAAGTAATTTGTGGCAAAATGGGCAATGCAAGTGCTAAAGCTGTTGATGTAAAAGTAGTGGAGCCTCCTGCACCAGCTAATGCTGAGAAACCTAAACTGAAGCCGTGCTGCGCTTGCCCGGAAACTAAGCGAGCTCGGGACGCATGGTAAGGTTATGAACAATACTATTTTTATTACGCAATACAGCTAATTCTAGAAATATAGTACGCGGATATAGGTTACTAGAGTAAGCATGATAAGACATGATATATTTTTTAGCAAAATTTTACTAAATATCCGGTGCAAATAAGTATTTTTCTGTCTTTTAATGAAGCATAACAAGAGGAAAAGATTAATACCATAAAAAACATTAAATTATACATGAATTCGTTTTACCTCAAGGCTATTGACATACAATTGTACAGATTATCCTTAGACTACTAATCCATAATCATGTAATGTATAGACTTTTCATTATGGCCCAGTGAATTGGAAGTCCATATTTTTCTCATAGATATTACTAATAAAAAGAACACTTTTAGAAACTTAGAAGTTGCGGAGACGAATCATATGAACCCCGGTAAATATATCATCATGAACCCCGGTTCATGATGATATGATTTTTTACAGTTTCCAGATAGGCACATCAAAGAATAACACGTGATGTACGAATTACGTTGTGTAGTAGTAAGTGTCATAGAAGCGAACTTAGGGCACCGCGACTCGGTCTGGTTAGGTTTAAACTGTCAAACACCAAGCGGTCACCAGTGACCGCAACCTATTGTTCTATTATTGTGTCTACAAAACCGGTACTCGACGAGTTAAGGGCTCTTAACATTCATGGTTTTCTTTCAAATTACCTAGAAGTTGGAGCTTGTGGGGCTCTGTCAACCATCTTGACAGGCAGGGTAGTGGTTGTAAATATGATTTGTGTAAGAATAATATTACCTATTTCTGGTTTTTTATTACTATCGGGGAAATACCTGACCTAACCTCAAAATTGTGACCTGCATATCTATATACCCATGGGGTTTCTAAGGGAGGTATAGAAGGTAGGCCCCTTCCACCTTCCAACCTACCCTCCCCAGAAACCATTGGAAATAGAGTTCAAATTTATGACAATTAGTGTTTTTATCCAACCTAACCCCAAACCATGGATATCTCCATAACTATGGGGTTCCGCACTTTTTGGATGGGATAGACGAGTAGCCCACATTCTGCCCCCTCCCTCTCCCCTCTGCGACACAAATATCACTGGCCCATAATGGAAAGTACAACCGAAAGTATAACTACTACATGTCTCTTACACAATTTCTGGTTACTGTACATTTTTTATTACATACAAGTGTTAAGTTTCAGTAACAATAGACTATAAACAATATTTTATACATTAAAACTCTTCTATAATCCTGTCTCTTTTATTTGCAGTATCATTGAAAATGGCGAGGAGAACTGCGGCCCCTTGATTGAGGAACACAAAGCTTGCATGAGGAGAATGGGCTTCAATATCTAAGCTGTATCATCAAGATACTGGATGGAATGTGTATCTAATCAATATTTTTTACATAATTCTATTTTTCATTGTTTATTTTTTTAGGGGAATATTAAATTATTGCAATTTGTAATGGGATGTGAAAGACATGATCAGTTAGTGATTGTTGGGGAAGGGTTTAGAAATCTGGGAAAAATATAAGATGCCATATTAATAAGTTAGCAAAATGAATAGCTAACAATGGAGTTTAGTAGGAGTTTTAGTATATCGTACTTGCATCTGCATACACACCTTTTTTTGTTTTGAGAGGGTAAACCTTCAAAAGGCGCCTAGGGTTTTGGAGATCAAAGACTAAAAGACTAGGGAGTGTGGGATTTTTACCTCACTAAAACCACCCTGGTGGCTACTCTCAACACAAATATGGAGGCACCGGGTCCTCTAAAAGAGACCTGCTCCGACTGACAACTAGCACGCTAAATATAGCTGCCAATGATGGCATAGCAATGTTAAGGAATGAACAACGGCAGTAATATTTTGCATGCTAGTTGTCTGTAGCATGTTTATTTCATAGTATGTCTAGTTTCGAAATGTCAACGCTAATCATAGAATTATGTAAAAGATATTTAATCAAAAATTTGTATTAAGGTCATTTCGTTTGACATGAAACCTGCATAGTGAGAAAAATTTAGTGTAGAAAGTATAAAACATTGCTTTAAACTTAATTTAATACTTTGTGGCTAGTTACACTCTTCAGATAGCTGCTTCCGGGAGATATCTGTCTGTTAAATTAATCCCAAACTTACAAAGACCTGTGGAACTAGCTTTTAATATTTTTAGATTATTTGTAGGTAGTTTTCTTGTATGAATGAGAAATGTGTTGAATGCATTTTTGTTAATTTAAGCTTTCAGTCACTGTACTTAAAGATAACAATTCTTTGCCAAAGATTGCACCTTTCTTTCACTTTGGATTAAACTGTCAAACACCAAGCGGTCAAACCTATTGTTCTATAATTGTGTCTATAATGACGGTACTCGACGAGTTAAATATTTAAAAATGTCTCTATTGTAAAGGTTTAATATTGTAATAAACACCTAATTGTTTTCTTACATAAATACTGTGAACTAATGAACTTCCATCCACAAAGATCTGTGAGTGCAATTAATTTGTCTTTTATTTATTTTTAGTAATAATGTTGTAAATATATGTTTGTTAACAAATCGTTGTTTCTTTTTTGTTTCATTTTTAAATTGTATGTTTATTAACAGCCAAAGACAGTGGAATTTGATCTACCTCTATTAAGCAGTTTTGCCAGTCACATTTTAGGTACCAACTAATGTTCTAATGTCATTGAAAAGTTTTGGATTAGAAAAAAATTAAAAATTCTTAAAAATTCAACACTACCTAACCAACCACTATTCACTATAGTATTCTACTAGATGGAAATTTTACATTTGTGATTATTTGTCTTTGGTTCATCGCCTTGACTTACCGCCAACGCAATAAGCGCCTACTTGGGCTTTTATTTATGATATTTTCGTAAGGCGCTATATGACGATTTTTTATTTTTGTTATATACTTAGTTCGAAGACTAATATAACACTGGACAAGCGCGATTTTACAGCAGGGGTAGCATATTTTGATTGCACGAATTTTTTAATAGAATGATAGAAAACAACTAAAACTAAACTATCTTCTCTGTTCCAGTGTCGTAGTTGCGTTTCTTCATCATCATCATATCATATCAGCGTTGAGACGTCTGCTACTGGACATAGGCCTCCCCCAACCCCCAATGACTTCCACTAGGTTCTCAAGTGGAGTCTGTACCGGAAAAGTCAGCGTAGGATATCTACCCACAACAGACTACTTGATTAAGGTCACAGGGAGCCGCTGGATGCAGATCGTTTCCAACCTATCTGGATTGCAAGTTGCGTTTATAAACACATAATTTCACATAGGTACCTACACACCGCGCTTGGGCACAGAACAACGACTAGTGCTCCTTGGCTATCAAACCCGCATCACGTTGCACAGCTGCCGATTAGCCAACCGCTGCGCGAACCGTACAGTGTACAGATAAGCAGGAACAAGGAAAAATATAGGAAGATAGAGTTACTGACGTAAGGTCACATGGCAGGCGCCAAAAGCCTGACAGCTCCACTGATTAACTCCAGGGTCGTTACTGATGAATTTCTCCCAACCTTATCTGAAGGTCATAAAGTTTATCATTTGCGATTGTCGCTAACGTACGATAGATATTGTTCCCAACATTGTGTCAACTTAATGGAAGCGTTTTACCTACCAATAAAACGCATATTAATTTACTTACCTTATTCGAAGCTTATTTAATTGAGATAGGCCTTCCGCTTCCCTCCTTCCGCTTTTCCTATATGTCTATCTCTTTCTACTACGTCACTTCCATTTGGCAGTGGTGGGGAGGCTTGCTAAGAGAGACTCGCCATTTTTATTTCATTGAGTCTCATTACCAGGCAGAGCTTGACTATAAGCTTCGAATAAGGTAAGTAAATTAATATGCGTTTTATTGGTAGGTAAAACGCTTCCATTAATTTGACTTGACCGTTATTCGAAGCTTATTTAATTGAGACGTGTTTGTTATCGCCTGGTGGAAGTGACAGACGCCAATGTGAGGTAGTATGACTGCGTTGACCGCAGTCGTACTACCTGGTATGATGTGGTAAAATCACAGAATAGAAAAACTAAGAAAAATAGCAAATATCTAAAAACATATACATGTTTTGATGAAAGGTATTGAATAGAAAACCTGTTATTTTTAATTTTTTCAATAATAATTGTATTTGATCTGAACAAAAACAGATGTTATATATTTCTGAGGTATTTTATTGCCTCGTTTCTAATTTTCTAATCGTCTGTATTGAATAAAAAGGTGACATACAAAGGCACACACATCTTAGAAAGGATCGCCTCAAAAGGATAACTATCCACTAAATTTTTTCAGATCACAGCTGATCTGAAACCCTCAGGATATCTTGGGGGATTACTGATATCTTAATATCGGTTACCACCAAGAAGGAACTTTATCCTGACCGCAATTA